CATGCAGGCAAAATGCTCTTTACATATAAAATAAAATGAATAAATCTTTAAAAATACCGAGTCATTCTGGGAAAACCTGACTTGACTGAATTGTCCCAAAGATGACACGTAGCTCGGTGGTAGTAGAAATCCTGGACATGGCCTCTTCCAGCAGGCCCAGGTAGGAACGAGGTGTTGGGAATGATGGTGGGTAGGAAGAGACAGAACAGATTTGGCCTACTTGCTCTTGGTACTTGGTTTAAGTGAAGACATCATGATGTTCCTCGATGCTCATGAAAAGTGAGCAAAATGAGGTAGATTTGCTTCTGTAAAGGCAGCTGGTCATCTTTTGGTTCTAGAAAGCATAGATTTACAACCCTGTTATTTTAGAAAACAACTCATGGTTATGTCGTGCAAGAATTGGTGCAGCTCCTCAAGCCTCAGTGGGTGCAACAGTTGGGTTAAACCGGCGTGTTTTAACAAAAAGGCTTAAAACTGGGTTTAATTATGTTTCCGGTAAAGTAACTAAGGTGTCAACTGTTTGGCACCTCTGATCTTTTAGGCATTATACAGATGCATTCATCCACCCCCATGATATAACTAAACACTTATTAGAAAAAACTGACAAGCAGCACAAACCAGGTTACACAATCTGGTAAACTCAGTGTCATCCCTGATTACACAAGCATGTTTCCAAAAGGAAGAAAAAATAAAAAAGCCAAAACAATTCACCAAGTAGACAATACAATCTGACCCCTCAAACTCAGGAGTGGAATGGACTGGCAGGGACATTTCAGTGTCCCCAGCCATGCTGGCATTCCCCAGGGGACCCAATGGAAGGAGGTAATTTTGTTCTCAAATGACCCAAGACCATAATTCAACCTTGGCACACATGTAATTCTTTTCGATCTGTAAAATTTTATTAAGCAACAGCTGGACAAATTACAATGTCAAATCATCAAGAAAAAAAAAAAGAGAGAGTAACCCATTTCAATAACAAAGGCAAAGTCATTTGGACAAACTACATTATTTTGAATGCAAACCATTAATCCCTTCTAGAAACTTCCTGCACAATCGAGTATACAAAGTACATACAAAGATAGGCAAATAGTGGTTGGGGGGGGGGGGAGCTCATTGAGACGCAATGCTGACTTCTCAACAGATCTTGTCTGGAAAGTTAAACAAAGCAAGCAAGATGCTGAATTAAGAACAAAATTAAAAAAACAAAAATAAAAACAAAAAAACATCAGAGCAGGGACTGGGGCTGATGGGTACACAAAAGTGTGGACAAGAACATGCTGGTGGTCGCGTTTGGTCTGTGACCTATGCACCCCGCAATGCACTTTGCTGGGAATAAAACGGGAAGAGAACGAGAAAGACAGACACAGCAGTAGCAAGGTAGTAAACTTGCAAATTATGCCCACATTTACAGTCGTAAAATAATGCATTTATAAACGCGTGGAAACAATACAGTGCCTTTTTTCACTCAAATGTATAACCCATGCTTTTCCACAACACCAGCAAAAAAAAAAAAAAAAAAAAAAAAAAAAAAAATCTACAATAAACAAGATCTTAAAACCCTACCCTTCCCCTTAAAATTAACTTGTAAACAGAAAATACAGGTTCAGTTAAAGTCACAAGAAAACCACATAAAGCCAAAAAGTGGCAACAATATAAGCCACGATCCTCCAGAGAGAGATACGGAGATAGGTAACACAGTGGTGTAGAGTTCTGAACTGCATGCTACCATAAGGTCCCAGGAACTCAAATGACCACTGGAACCCAGCTAATGTTGTCGACCCATCCACAACCCACACAGGGACAGCCCAGGCCCCCTTCCCACAGGTCCTTTTCTCAGAACGTCTTCTGAACTAGAAGAAAATGCAGCAACACTCTTGCACTGCCCTGAAGGAGGCAAGCACTGCACAACTGCTTTCCGAGCCCGCTCTCAGTCTGAGGCACACACACACACACACACACACACACACACACACACACACACACACACACACACACAGTCCCTTGTTTTACTCCAGGGTGCCCGCCCACTGAGGAGCGCACCCTCCTAGGGACTGCCACTGCACTTGGATTTGGTGCTTCTGTGATTTTAGTAGACTAAACATGATTCCAAACACATTTTAGGAGTGAACTTTCAAAGATACCATAAATATGCTGGTTTCTGTTCGAGTAGACAGCTCCAACTCAGGGGAAAAAAACCTTTTCTTCCCTACCAAAAGACTGTGTTTTGAAACACACTTTCACCCTCACGAAGGGGAAGATGAATTGCTGAATTAGGCTGGAGCTAGAATGCAGTTTTCAAGTTTGCGCAGACATCCCTTTCATTAGGAGAAGGACAAAAGGAGGCAGACGCCCCCAGGAACTTGCCCCAAGTCACTCTTCACCCCGTGACAGAGCAACTGGACTTGTCCCCTGACCTTTGATTACAGAATGGACATTACATAAGGGAGCATGGCTGTGGATGAAAAGTACCAACATGCAAAAGCTTAAGCTTCCTATGTCCACTAGAGCTCTGAGTATTTCTAGATTCACTGGTCCAGTTTTTCTTAGGATACAGATTGAAATGGGAAACTGCACAAACATCCACGACGTCTGTTTTGATGAAGTTAGAGCCAAACAAAACCTAAGACTGGTTTTGGTTATTACACTGCCACAACCCCTGCAGCCAGCAGCTCAGGGCACGTGTGGCACCCGAGACTCACTCCTTAACCTGGGAGAGGCGTCCAGTGGGGGAAGGGGCTCCTGCCTCCGCTCTGCAGCTCACAGGCTAAGCATCATTGAAGGCAGGAAGCCTGCATCTCCACGGATGGAGTTATCTTTTAGGGAAGACTTCCTCCACATTTGATCTTATTTAGCAAATTTATAAAGTTAAAAAAGCCAGTTTGAACTAAAAAAACAAAAAACAAAACCCTGAAGACTATTTAGGGTCCCTACTTGCCACGCTTATTTAAGGGGTCTCACTTCTTCCTTTCAATTAACATTTTCAAAGAAAGGAGAAATACTACCTTAGGGTATGCAAGCTCAAAGAAACGGCCTATTGTGCATATAATTAATACTGAGATAAAGAGTGAATTTATTTCTTAAGGGGTCAATAGGATCTTCTCCCAATTCTCAAGAAAGTTACAAATTATCCAGCAAAAAAGTCTTCTGTCATATTCTCTTTATTGTTTGCAGCAATATATATTGCCACCAAATAAGTCATTACAAAGGTACTATTTTTCTAAATAAATAATAAAATGGGCATAAATCACCAATACATAGTAACAAAATAGTTCCCAAGAATACTGTAAAGAGCAAGATAAATAACTATTTTAGACAACAAAACAAAGGAAATTGCATTTAAATTACTCCATAAACTGAATGGCTACAATGGTATTGCACAACTAATGGTAAGCACTGAAACACCTTCTCAAGCTACAGAAATTGACATAAACCAACACAGTAATTCCCAACACACTATTCAACTCTCTCTGGGACAAATGACCCACCTAAGAATCATTAAATTATAAAACGGAAAACTCCAGTATCAGCTGGGAGATGCCCTGGTCAGTATTTCTTTGGAATTTGGAAAGAATGATGAGTGATTTAATTTTGCCTAGATAAAGAAATCGACAGTGTCTTTTCTAATTCTTAAACCGAACACAAGAAACACACACACACACACACACACACACACACAAACACACACACAAAAACAATGTTTAAGCTGAAAATAATTTTCCTCTAGCGTCTTCCACTTGTCGGTTTTCAAATGAAACCCCAACTTAGGAGTCAAAGCCTGCAGCCAGGTCTTGTGCTCTGGTAATGAACAACATCTCACAGGTGAGAACCACAACATCACGAACCGGTTCTTACTATCAGGTACGGTACTTGCCCAAGGTGTGTTCCCACAAGGAGAAGAAACTGGGCAGAGTCTATAAGCAGAGTGAACTATACAGAGCCAACTACCTAAGCATGGCAGTCATGACAAGGGTTCTCCAGCGGCTGTCTTTTAGCACAGTCTATACACCCAAGCACAGTTCTTTCTTCCCCTTACAAAACACCGTGGAGCTTTCCCCAAGATCTGACCACATCCCCATCTTTTAATATCCTGGGAAAGGCACACATATCACCTACAGTTGAGGGAAGCATTCAAATCAACTGAACTTGAATATGGGCAGAGGGAAGGAATCAAGTTCCATTCACACAGAGCAATGAGGTCTAAAGAGAAAGATGTTTACAGTAAAATGTTCCAGACTAAAACAAGAAAAGGAGTAGACAAGTGTCTGGTGAATGACCAGACTAAGGACTGTGACACAAGCCCAGCTCTGCTTTGCCTTCTCCTAAACTCAAATGGGATTCTGACACGAAGAACTAGTGTACCCTCGAGAGAGAAAGCACAGCCCTCACACAAGCCACACCACCAAGCCACCCAGCTGCCCGCAGGGTCGCAGAGTGCTGCGACGCTGTCTCCATTGGCATAGGCAGTCTCTCCCACAGCACGTGCCTACCCAGTCACAGTCACACCTATGGCAGCACCCATTTACCTTGGCTTACATCAGCGCTGCACCAGGCATTTGCATATGTGCCTTTCATTCATACAGGTACCATCTGGTGAGCAGCACATATGTGTGATTTAAGCACTGTCCTCCCCCCACCCCCACAAGACAAGCTGAATCTTCCAGAGTTTTGGTTGTGCTGAAAAAAAAAAAATTTTTTTTTTTGCACTAGTGATAATGTTAGAAGGGTAACAGAGGTCAGATAACATGAAGAGTGAAAACTAACACACACTCCCTACGTCTAAAAGAAGAGCAGGCTTGAAGCAATCTGTTTTCTTTCCAAAGGCCCTTGTCCTAGTCACTTAAAAGTAAATGAGTAAAACATTCTACACTACCTTCAAGCACACAAGATACCTCAAATTCTTGGCATCCAGATAGCGCTCTATCAAAAGGAGAAAGGAGGGACAATGAAGGATAACCCAACAGTTGGCCATGCCTAAAGACCAGCACCCTTCTGGCCTGCTGGCTTCCTCTACCGCCGGTGTCTCTGGTCCTCCTGGGTAGTAGCAGCACATCTTCCTCCGAAGGCTCCTGGCATGTCTCCTCCTGCATCTGTCTCTTCATTTTAGGCGCTGAGTCACATTGGCCAGGGCAACAGCAAAAGCCTGCACAGCTGAGAAGGGGTACTGGAAGTCTAGGATGTACGCATTACCATCAATGCGTCCAAACTGCATCACCTAGAGAAGACGGTGCAGAAAGCAAACACATGAACGGAAGAGAAAGAAAGTGAGCAAACAGTGCCAACCCCGAGGGAAGCAGGGAGCATAGTCCAGAGGAGTTCTAGAAAGCCATACAACTGAATCTGACGGGGCTCCTAGATTAACTACAGGTTTGTAGGAGAGAGGACGAGGGTCATGGGTGATAGTGCAAGGGAAGATAAGGTGCTCACACGAGGGTTACAGGTGCGACACAGTGGGTCCCCCAGGGAAGACGAAAGAAGACCCCAGCTTTCTGAGAGAGACCAGAGACGTGCCAACTGTGTCCAAGGCCTCTGCCTCAGGGCAGGTTTCCCTGTCACCTTTCTAGAACAGCACACCCTCCCTTCCATCAAGCTCCTCCTTGTCCTGCTCAGCTTGTGACTTTGGCCTCAGAACACGAGATCACTGCATCACAGCATAGGACACACTCTTATTTCTTTGTGGTCTTTCTCCCTTTTTTTTTTGAAAGACACATGAGAACAATTCCACTTAGAATAAGGGCTGGCAAGCTTTCTGTAAAATGTAAATACACATTTTAGGCCTGTAATTAATATTCTTCGTAGAATCACTCGGCTTTGCTTACGTTAGATAAAAGTAGTTGTAGACTTGAGGAGACAGAACTGTGTCTCAACATCCCTCCACAGCTGGTAATGAACAGCGAAGAGGAAGGAGTACTATAGACACTACAATATCTATCTATCCAAACTGCACTGCCTTGGGGAAGCAGGTGTGCCAGCTCCTAGGGAAGCAGGGAGCACAATACACTGAGAGTTACACGGCAGGAAGGCAAAAATACAGACAGCAATAAACCAAACAGCAACTGAATGAACAGCAGGTGAGGGGATGGGTGGGGCGGTCTTTCTAATGTCACGGGCACCCTCTAAAGCAGATTTAAAGTGCATGAGGAGGCGTCAGAAGGGACCCTGAGAGTAAGAACCCAAACCGACTGGCTCCACCCAAGAGATGGGAGATGCTCTGCACGTGAGCCCTGCCTGGCCTTTCACAGGCTCGATCCTCCAGTCCACAGCACTGGCCCGCCCGCTCCTTACCTGCCGCCCCTCCAGCTCGATCTGGAAGTTCTTGGCAGATTCCTGGGTCACCCTCCCTCCAAAGTCCAGCTGGTACACCTGTGTGGCTTCATTCCACAGGGGCTGTTTGTTGGCCATCACATACACGAAGCCCTGGCTGCCCAGCCGCCCGTCCTCCTTCTCGCCCGCTTTGCGGCACTTGAACTCCTCCAGCTCACTGGCTGTGCGCAGGCTCCTCTTGCTCTTCCAACCCTTCTTGCTGCCCTGGCTTTGGTTCATCAGCTCATCCCCGCTGATGAACAGCTCGGGCTCACTCTCTGAGCTGTCCTGGAATTCGTTTGTCTTGTTCAGCTTCTTGGATTTCAGTTGATCTTTCTGGCTCTTCACTTTCTTCTTCTCTCTCCCCAGGCGGGGGCTGGAGATGAGAGAGTTAAAGTCACTCAAGGTCCTAGCATCCTTTTTCACTTTGCCCTCGGTGATGGCCTGGACACTTCCCTCCTCTGCTCGGCTATCCAGGCGCTTCCGGTTCTTCTTTCCAAATTTTTCTGTTCTCTGGGGGACAGGGCTTTCTGTCAGAGAGAGGACTTCTTGGAAGTTGTCTGCAGTCTCTACCATCACCTCTGTGCCCAGGTGGCTCTGGAGCTCGGCAGGGGGTGGGGACGCAAGAGGCTTCTCCACCACTAAGTGGGGCTTGGCGGGGAGAGAGCCCTGGGGGCTCTGCATGGGTGGGCAGGTGCTATAGGAACTCCAAGGGTGCAAGGCGATAGGAGGCAGCTGTAAACTGGAGCACGTGCTGCTTCCTGGGTATGTGGGGGGCAAGGTATAATAGGAGAGACCGGGTGGGTATGCTGGCTCAAGTACGACAGCAGACTCCTGTTGTGCAAACTGTGCTGGGGACAGGGCGTCTTTAGGGGTGCATGGAGCTTGCACTCCAGGCAGAGAGGGGTTGTTATAGCTGCCTGGATATGGCAGCCCCATGCCATAGCCCGTCTGGAAGGTGGCAGTAGGGCTGGACGGAGATTTGGGAGACACAAAGGGCACTCGAGCTACATCCAGGTGCTGGCCTGGCCCTAGCATCAGAGGGGACAGTTTTAAGGGGTTGGGCACCGCAGGCTGTGCTGTCCTTTCCTGAGGGACCCAGACGTCCTCACCCAGCACAGGGTCCCACTGGTAAGGGGGGGGCCTCTTCACCGTCACGGCAGCTTCAGGAAGTGGGGGATGCCTCAGAGGCTTCTCCGGCTGACAGTGCTGAGACAGGGCCTCGTCCTCCGTGAAGGCTGAGTTGACATAGTCAGTGCGGTCACGGGAAGTGTCCGGAGGGCTCAGGAGATTGTAGGAGGACTGGGAGGCCAGTGGGGAGGCGCTGACAGCATGGGCCAGGGTTGCACCTGGCTGTGAGCTGGACCCGGCTCCGCTGCACTGGCTGCAGGTATATAGGGCAGGTGGAGGCCTTGCTGGGAGCTGTGCTACTGGCCCACTGGGGCCACCCTTGGGCTTGGCCAGGGGCTGCAGGGGGGCACGGGAGCTGTCAGCCAGCTGGGCCACCTTCAGTGCAACCTCACGGTTGTTCCTTCGCAGGGTGGCATGGATGAGACCGTTGTCCAGTCTTTGAGTAGCACTCCGCCCCGGGCCCAGCTGACTAGCAATTTCAGGGTATGGAGGTGGATCCCCTGTGGGGATGGAGTACCGAGGGACGGTCAGGCGGTTCAGAGTGGCACTGGTGCAGGGTTGGAGGACCTTCTTCTCTGTGGCTGTGAGCCTCAGGGTGGCAGAGCTGCCCGGGCCAGGAAGAGTGTAGGTGTTCTGGGAACAGAGCATCCGAGTGCGGGGCCGGCACACCTCTTCTACATTGCCACTGCTGTCAAAGGTGGTGATCCTCTCGTAGCCTAGGGGAGGCTGGTAATGTGCTGTCGGAGCACACAGGGAGAAGTCACCCTTCTTCAGACACACATCCACTGGAGGCTGTGGTGGGGGCAGCGGGGGTGGGGGGGCTGCTGTGGTGGGGGCAGCGGGGATGGTCCCCGGGTAGGGGGGTGGGGGGTTCATCTTTGCCACCGGGACCTCCTGGGGGGCACTGAAAACCACTGCATCCCCCTCGGCTGCCAGCTGAGGCACCGGCCGCAGGGCCTTGGCTGACCTCTGCAGGTGCTCATGGTCTCGGTCTCCGTGGTCCACCACAGACAGCTGCACAGGCCCCGGAGCTGGTGGCGGCGGCGGCGGTGGTGGCAAAGGCAACTGAGGAGGGTTCTGAATGATGCGGCCCATCTCTACACCTCCAAAAATCACCTGTCCAGGGCTGGAGTACCGACTGGACACTGGGTACTGGGTGGCAGCTTCACCTGCGTGCTCTGCAGCCCCTGTAGCTGTTGTCTGATTGGTCAAGACATCCAGCTGCACATTTTGATTGGCCAGCAGGGACTGCACCAACCCTATGCTCTGTGTGGGCGACAGAGCTTGAGCGGAGCTGTGGATTGGTGCAATAGGGATGTTCACGGTACAAGGTGGGTTGTTTTCAGGGACACCGGATGCTCCGGTAACTGGAAGAAAATCAGAAAAAAGAATTGGCTGCAAAACAGTACTGTGGAATTGGGACAGAATAAGCAACATGCTTAGACGTATCTGATCTTTTGCAAACCAAGCGCAACTATTAAGACTGAGATGCTCTTGCCTGGAGACAATGAGGCTGTTCCCAAGCTCCCCTAACATCTCTGCAAGGACACACAGCCAACCAGGGAGTCTGCAGCCTGGCCTGCCTGCTCAACAGCGCTGAGGCAGTGTCAGAACATCTCAACGAGCCTTCCGAATTTGGTACCACGTGCCTAAATAATAGCATCATACATAAATGTTTAAAGAACTCTTTAATGGCTATATTTACATAATGCCTATGTAAAATAAAGTAGAAAAACCAAAGAAAAGACTGAATGACTGTTTCCTACTTACAGTTTTCAGCATTTCAAACAGCATTTAAGGTACAGGCAACCAAATAAAAGCATGCGAATACTCCATCTGCTCTCCAGTGGTCACTTCGAAAGCAGTGACTGTGGAGCCCAGCCTAGCTTTGCTCCATTGACTGGCTGTGTCTCCTCCTCAGACTACAATGTCACAGGCTCAGAGCCTGGAACCCTGTGTTAATGCATAGGATCTAACAGGCTCATTGTGTAAGTTGTCTGACTTTGCACCCAAACAGAAGAATGCAGCCACTCAGATATTACAAGTTAAGCCTGGCCTTGGGGTCTGTAACTGCCTCTTCCCTGGGGCCTCCACTGAGCTAACTCATCCTCTGGCTGCATGGATCTGGGCCCCACCTCAAGCTTCCTGTCATTCCTTAGATGACCCCTCTTTGGAATATTCTTTGTGGTCTCCAGAGAGCAATGGCCCGGGTTATGTGGCTCTCCAGCGGAGAGTCTCTGTGGGGTTATAATCACTGTCTGTAAACCGAGATTATGTACCCCATCCTCTCAACTGAGGACTATACACAGCAAAGGTAGCCACTGCAGCAACTGAATGCAGAGAAAGCTGTTTACTGCACTGGGGAGAACAGAGGTTGTCAAAGGGAAATTATAAGCTGTATCTAAACTGGAGACTCTGAAATAGCAGAGCATGTTTTGAGCTTTAAGTACCCAAAGTTCATGCATCAAAGGGTAGGTATTGGTGCTGGACGCAGAGTCGTTTCTACAAAATTCCAAGTGGGCTTGTACTTTAAAAAGGGAATGTTTCTCAAGTGTCCTTGAGAAACTGAGAATCATTAGATACAACTCCCTGGCAGCCAGTGGAAGACATTCTGATCTGTAAACAAAGCAGAACCTTTAAGAGTCCCCCACTACAGTAAACAAATCTAAAAGCCCACGGTCTGTAAAGTAAAATTTAAAAATGGTGTGCTAAATAGCATCTCTAACTCGTCAGGCCTCTATGAGGAGGCTTGTTTTTCATGGCAGAAGGGGCGTTCAAATGCAAAGGCTCTGAGTCCTGGAAACAGGGCAGGCTTGAGTTGCTGGGCCCGGTGAGCTCTACAGGCCTCTAGAAAGATGCTCTCTAAGCAGGGATCAGAAGGCTGGAGACCAGGAGACCACTGAGACAGAGCTTCCCGTCTCCAGGTTCCTGCCTGACTTCCCTTCTTCGAAGACTATAGCTGTGAGGTGAAATAAACCCTTTCCTTCCCAGGCTGCTTTTGGTCATGGCGTTTATATGAGCAACAGAAATCGAAGAAGAGTGACAGCAGATGAAGTGAGGAGTGCTGTGTCCATGCTCTGGTAGCTTCCCTCCTGCCGGAAAACACACACTGAGCTTTTCCTCCCAGGCATACCACGCCTCCTAAGCTTACTGAGTGAGGTGGGCCTTTTCAAACCACACCAGCAACTGGACTCAACGACTTACCAAACTCTATCCCCCTTGCATGATACACAAAGAGAGGTACTGTGACAGACAAGTCCATGCACGTGTCAAACCTGGTAAGTCATCTTCATCTTCGCTGAAAACATTTGGGTTGAAGACAGGTAGATTAATATAGTCCATGGAAATCTTCCTAACTTCCGGGAGATAAATGGTCATCTGCCGCGGCTGGAGATGCAGCAGGCTGGTCTTATAGATGACTGGTGGGAGAATGGAGCACAGTTAATGGAGGTGGGGTTAATGCCAGCAGAGAGCCAGAGTTAGCAGTGTGATGGAGAGAAAGGGAGGCCCGTGGAGCCCTCTGTTGGCAGGCACATCTGCCCAGGCTGGACCAGGAGCTTGAGCGGAGTGCTTAGCATCCACTGATGTATGTATACAGAGCGACGTGAGATCAGCAAATTCTTCATCTGTCCACAGAACCACAAATTGTAGATGCCAAAAACATAACTTGGACTTAAATCCTTTGCCAAGAATGCCAAGCTCAGGAGCTATTTGACATCTCTGGGACCAGGATACCACAGATGTGCAAATTGCTGCTGCTGTTCAGGGCAGTCTTAGCTTACTGATTTTCACCTTAAGTGATCTCCAACAGGATTTACAGGTACTTCTGGAGTAAATTTATATCTGAAGATTTAACTTGATTAACACTGACAGTTAGGAGAAAGCCTAAGTTGCAAACGAAACAGAAAGGGTATAATTAATTAAAAAATTATGAATCTAAGTTCCATAAGCAGGTTAAAAAACGTTAGGCTTTTGTCAACTCTCTTTTACATTGAAGTATTATTAATTTAACTGTATACGTGTGTGTTTGTCTGTACATACAATATATGTGTGCCACACGTGTGGAGGTTAGTTCTGTGCCACCATCTCATGGAATTAAGGGCTCAAACTTGGGCTGCCCAGAGTTTGCACAAGTGCCTTCACCCACTGAACCATCTTTTATGTTAAAAACTCCTTCCTATGAGACTGTACACAGACGTACTTGTATTCTGCATTTTTCAGTAAGAGAAGCCACAGCCTCTCTACCACTGTCCCTCAACTAGCTCCGCCTGACAAACCAGCGTTGCTCTAGAAGCAGCAGCTTTTGCTGAGCTCTCTGTTTGAGGCTGACACTCAGGAAATGCCTTTTCCTACCTGAAAGTTAGAGAAATTTTTTTTCGCAATCTCATTAGTCTTGTCCACAACATAGAATAGAATTTTGGTGGAAAAGTTCTATTTTGTTCTGAGTTAGGCAAAAGAGCTATTCTTTATAGGATCAATAAGGAACATTTTTTTTTTTTTTTAACTGAGGAATGATTACAAACATAACTTGCCTCCAGGGAAGAAAAACTAAGTAGACTGCAGTAATGATGGGAAGTTTTATTCTTGTTATTACTATCACTAGTGTTTTACTGTATGTCCCCTTTTAATGTAGCTTTTATATAGCTCTCACAGGACTTAATAAAGGCTAGAGGTGACAATAAACGTGGCCACGCCAGACACAGCAATGAGAGTCTGGGATCAAGTTCATGTGGGACATGACCCTGGCAGTGTGGCTTCGCACCCTGGATCAGGAGAGGACGCAAGTTCAACAAGAGAGAGGGAGGGCTAAGTTAGTGAGTCCCCTCAGAAGAGGAGGGTGATGGAGGAGGCGCCATGAAGAGCCAGAGAGGCTGGTAATGTAATGACCCTCTGGCTGCCCCTCCCTCCTCTCGGAATCTCTTTCTCTCTTCACGGGCTGAGACTATTCTGGCTGAAGGAAACAAGGGGAACATTAACTTTCTGAGCCCATTAGCGCATCACATACTGTATTTGAAATGACTAACAAGGTAACACGAATAGTATACTTTCTGGAATACAAAAGTTGAGCAGACACTGGAGGAAGGACCAGGACTACCTGTCCTCACCGACAGAGACATACAGGCAAGGAGGCAGCCCAGGGAGATAAGATGGGGTGATAGGGGTGGGTTGAGGAGGTGGGGGGACACGACAGGCAGAGCTGTGCATCCGAAGCCCCTGAGGTAAGGGCATGGGCTACTACTGGTCACTTGGATAGGGTGCTGATGAAGACCGAAGCCTGAGCTCTGGCGCAGCCTCTCCTCCCCCTGCATAAGATTTCTTCTGTGTCTGTCTCAAAACTGTCATGGGCAGGATCTTTATCAAATGAGAAAAACAAGACTGATAAACACATACTGCTAAGAACCACATTCTTAACAGCCAGCTAACTCCTTGGTCTTTAATGCCCTATTTTCTTCTCTTACAAGTTCCCTGTGATTCAAGAACTCAACACTGTATGCTGACTCTGCTCACAATGGTTAAATGTCTAGAAATTCTCCAGCGTTCTCCTAGAGATTTTGGCTACGTTTATTAGTTTCCTAACACAGAGTTTCTTGGGGTGATGGGCGGGGGGGGGGGGAGGAAGAAAGTGCCAGGGACAAAACCCAGTAAGTACAGGTCTGTCTTTCTGACATCATAGTGGCTGGAGTCAAGGTGACAGACACAGCGATCCAATACTGTCTTAAGAGCTCATTTTCTAGTTTAAGCTGTCACAGGTTGAAACTGTAACTTTTATTCTGATTTCCAAATGGGACGATAAGAAAATGAAACGGAGTGAGTCTTTACCTGCACCGAGGTTGGTTGGCAGGAACGCAGCCAAGCCCACAATCTTAAATTTGGTTCCCCAGATATTGGATGTGACCTGAGCAAGGTAGTTGTGCTGTGGGGGGAAGAGGGAAGAAAAGAAAGAGTCTCAGTCTGTCTTCACCGAGTGCTAACACAAACAGCGCTGTAGGCAGACGCCGTCAGAAACATGACATCTCCGACTTGTGGCACTTTAAAGGCGAGACGTCAATTATTGCACAGTGGGCTCCCATGTCCCACTGGTGGTACACCGATCCACGACAGCTCGCTCTGTCCCAGTGTGAAAGGGTCATTAGCAGCGGGAGAGACCGCTCAGCGGTTAAGAGCATGTCCTGCCTTGCAGAGGACTGGGGTCCCATCTGCAGCACCCACAACCACCTCTAACTCCACTTTCAGGGAACCTGGCCCCAGTGGGCACATAAACACACACAAGCGCATATACATACATATATAAATGTCTTGTAAAACGTTACTAAAGGGCTGGGGATGCGGGTCAGTCTGCACAATGACCACCCTGCATGCATGAAGCCATCAGTTGATCTCCAACACTGTATAAACTTGGCCTGGTAACACAATCCTGTAATGCCAGCACTTTGGAGGTTAAGTTGGGAGAATCAGAAGTTCAAGACCATCCTTGCCCAAATGGCAAGTCTGAGGCCACCCTGGGCTCATCAGAGTTCAGAGTAGTGATGTAGTTCCAACTAGTGAGGAGGATGAGGTGGGATTTGAGGCCGGCCTGGACAAAATAGCACAGCCTCATTTCGAAACTAAGAAAATAAAACAGGGTGGTGTGGAGGGCTGTAATCTCAGCAGCTGGAAAGCTGAGGTAGGAGGGCCCTGAGTTCCAGGCAAGTCCGGGCTACTAGCTATATCTAAAACCAGCAAACAAAAAAAAATTAACTAATAAAATAACCAAGTAATAACAACATAATGTGAAGTAACAAAAACTATCTTAAATAAAATTGTAAAGGTAAAAAGAGCACCAAAGTGACTGGAACACCATTTTGTTCATTTCTCCTTTTGCCACTGACAGATTCTGCAGATGTCAGCTGAGTTGAAACCAATACGTCTTTTTTTAAATACTTTATTATTTTTATGTGAGCTGCCGTGTGGGTCCTGGGAGTTGAACCCAGGTCCTGTAGAAGAGCAGTCAGTGCTCTTAGCCACTGGCCCCAGTGGGCACCTTTAAACCTCCCAATTCTCCTGTTGTTTTACCTCTATGCTCAATGTGGGTATCGGTAAAGTACAATGACCCCAATGGTGGATAATAAGATGTGTTTCATAATAAGACGTGTGTGGGCTGGGCCAGGGCAGAGGCCTTCACAGAGGAGCTACAAACTGAGTTAGGGCTGGAAGTGGGGGCAAAAATGAGGAGACGGAGACGGAGACTTGGGCATCATCCAGGCACAGGCACACGGGCAAGGCTACTGGGGGCTGTAGCCAGCGTTCCCTTCCTAGAACTGAGGTGTCACTGCAGGACCGGGAGACAGAAGCGAAGAAGGGGCACATTTTAGAGCTTGCTGGGCGAGATTCCAGCCACAGACAGGAACACAGCCACACGGTATGGGTGTAGGTGCAGCAATAAGCGAGACAGGAGCACTGGGAAGGACAGCGGCGCGTCCAGGCCGCCTGATGGCACGAGACAGCATGGAAGCGCCACCCACCGTTAGCCATGCATGTCTACCTGAGTGATGTCCTCAAAGGGAAACTCTCTCCGAGTCAGGCTGGGCGAGCCCATGGAGGGCTTGCGCATGGGCAGTCGGGGAGATCGAGAAATCTCTTGAGCAGCCCGGGGCAGCTTGGGTGACTTTCGGGCCTCAATGCTGATCCTGTGGAGACGAGGCCAGACGGGTGAGACGGGCACAGAGGGATGCATCTGCATCCGCAGCTCCTTTCTCTGATCCTCAGCTGTAGATGCTGGCTCTCAATGCTCAAGGCCCTAATTTCACAAAGCGCTCTTGCCAACTACATACGAAGTAACATACACAGTTTTAGTGATTCATCGAGAGAATGAACACTCACTACCCACTGACTTACAGTATGTTTAGAACGTCCACATGCCTTCTGCCACAGGTTTGCAGGGTCAGCCCTGAGAAAATGGCAAGAGGAAGACTGTTTCTCGTTTTAAGGCCACTGTGATTTACAAAATTCCTTCAGTCAGTTTGGATTTTAGCAGATATTTAAGACTGCCACCTATAATACACAACACAAATAATAAAAGACCCAGAGACTGATATTGGGGTTCAAGATGAAGATCAGCGGAGCAAAGCAGCTGACCACTAGCTCTCACCTCTACCTCCGGCTGAAAGGGCTGTCCTATCCTCAGTGTGGCTGGAGACTAAATACTGAATGCTCTGCTCCTGTCTTATTTACCTCTCTAGCGCTGGGATTAAAGGCGTGGGATCCCAAGTGCTGAGATCTCCCTTGAGAGAGCTGTTTCTCTTTTAGACGGATTCACTCCAATGTAAACCAGGGTGACCTTGAACTCACAGAGATTCATCTGCCTCTGTCTCCTGAGTCCTGGGATTAAAGGTGTGTGTCACCACTGCCTGGCTCTATGGCTGTGGCTGGTTTTGCATTTTGATCACCACTGGCTTTATTAAATCATAAACAGTAAATCACCACAATAATATTTAAATCAAATAACTGAAGCCAAAGCTTTTCTGCTTTTTCTGATTCCATGTTCTTATCTCTATTCCTTCGTTTACAGTGTAAAGACACAAGGGTTTAACATCAGTCTTCCCAAAAGTTGGTGCTATGAAAGCAACTACTGTGGAGTCTATAATGTCCTGTGAGAAAAATGCACAAAGCAACAGACTGCACTGTCTTGTTGTCAAACTGGGTAAGAAACTTCAGGCTCCAGAGAGATGGGAAGATGGGGGACTGACTTGTGTGCTAAGACTAGCTGCTGTGTAGAAGGAGTGGCAGAACCTTCAAAGGATGTGTATAGACAAAATGTGTGGAAAATGATCTCTCTGCTTAGGTAGTGGAAAAAAGCCAACACTACAGAAGACTACAAATTCATAATTTTATATGCAGTTTAAGCAAACTTTAGATTAAAAAAAACCCAATGAATCACATTACTGGAGAAGCTGGATAGTAAAAATAACTGTTCACTCTTCATGTCATATTCAAGCACTAGTCTGGCTTTAAAGCAGATCTGAGACTTATGTGAAAACTAATTTTACAGCTACAGGAAGGATGCTCACGGTCTTAGGATGGACAGCTATTTCCTAAATGTAACACAAGAGGCACTGACTGCAAATAGACTATCTAGTAAAACGTGTGTCTGACACAGAGCGCTCTCTGTTACATCCCAGTAAACAACCCAACACAAATTGAAGGAACAATCAGACACTTCACTACAGGCAGCGGATACACACAGGACAAATGTTCAATGCAGCGCCATCACCCCCCGGAGACGGCAGACATCACTACACACCCACCAGATGGGTAAAACTTTCCTAGAGTGGCGACAGAGCGGGAATGAGATGAGAATGGAAACTGCTGGGACTCGCATACACTACCGTAGAAACTCAATTTCATACAGTCACCGTGTAATGCCACTTGAGAGCTTCCGCTAAAGTCTAAAATGTACTTAACTCATGACCCTGTAATTCCTTTCTTAAGAATATATGCAATTAAAATGAGTGTGATATCTCCCAAAAGATTTGCACAAAAATGTGTATAATGGATTTATTCATCACAGTCCCAAACTAGGGAATATCAAATATCCATCGATTGGTAAAGTGTATAAGCCTTCAGTGGCACATTTGTTACAATGGAAAAATCCCACAAAGTGATGTAAAATAAAAAGGCAAACTACTGATATCCATGATACTGTGTTAGGGGTGGGGGGAAGGAGCTAAACAAACAGCACCCATATTCATATGAAATTCGACACTAAAAAAAAAATTAATCTACAGCAACAAAGTCATACTGGACGCAAGCAGCATGAAAGACCTTCCAGGGTGATGGGCACGTCCTTTATCCCCAACTAGTGGGGACACGCTGGTGAGTCAACTACCCAGGGATCCAGCGGCTTGAAAGATGAGCATCTGAGCATGTGTGAGGTGGTGCGCATATCACACCAGACTTTGCACGAGTCTGTCCGTTACTGCCCATAGGTAAGTCTTGTCTGACTAGTGACACAGCCATGACAACAGGGGAAGAGGAACACAGTGGTGGTGACGATGCCACCAGCCCTTCTGCCTTCAGACAGGGTTACAGGCACAGAGCATGGCACTCGCTTCAATTAAAGTGGAAGCGGAAACAATCAATCTGGGAAGCAATGGTTACGCTCGGTAACCCGCCCTCACTGCAGACCCGACTAAAGTCTGGAGGCCTCCTTTCTGTCCTGAGAGAGAGACAGGCAGGCAGGAAGGAAAGGGAAACTGGAATTGTTCCAGATCCAATCTTCCAGCATGGACAGTGACGCGAAAACAAAGGGAGATTGATCTTGCTGCTGCTGTTCAAGTGTGACCGTCCTTTCCTTCCTCCTCTCGAGGTTAATCCGGGCAGAACAAGTTCCAGACTTGAACAGCAATCTAGACCTAAGGTTGTTCAGAGTTCTCATTGGAGTCAGCTTCAAAGGCTTTTAGAACAGTGGCACGTCACACCCAAGGCACAACAAAGGGGAGCCCACTGTTACCTTGGAAGTTTGGGCGATTTGCTAGCTCTGGAAATTTTGGGAGACTTCTTGGCAGCCCAGTCATCACTCAGCTCAATGTCACTGGAGTCTGAGCAGTTGCAGCTGTCAATCACAGTAGAAATCAAGCTGTTCCCATAGATCTCATCTGTAAGACACCAATCATCAGGCATAAGCAACTGTTACTGCTATGCAGGGCAGGCTGACATTCGTGGCTTCTTATTAGGTCAGAGGTTTTTATGCTCTTTCTAAGCAGAAGCAGGCAACTCCTACAGCTGTTCGTTATGCCAAAAGCTGAGAATAAATATTTGACTAGCTATCCTCAGGACACTCAGGCGACTACCTACCTTCTAGACTAGAAAACTAGATGGAGGGCTAGTGCGCAGACCTACTGGAATCTGCTTCTGACCTGCGAAGGCCCGACCAATCCAGGCCTGTAGTAACTACCATCTTGCCGAGTTGGGTCCACGTCAAGGTCTCTGGGCAGATCTTTCTAGAACAATAATTCTGGAATTGCCACCGGCTGCCTGGAGGGGGGTGGGGGGTGGGGGGTGACAACTCCACCTAGTACAGCTGACCCTGTTAGAGAAAGGGAGGCAGAGAGGACTTATAGTGGTAGTTTCGGGTGACTCTATGGGTAACTTCCTATGGAAGCGAGTCCTGGTAGCTAGCTGGTCAGCAGACGGAATCTCAGAGGCACAGAACAGAGGGTAAGGACAAAGCACAGACCTGCAAGGAGACACCTGACCACAAGTCCCTTGCTGATTCCACAACCCCACACTCCTGTACCCCTTCGTTCCGCCGCCCAACCCCACAGTCCTGCCTCGTACCTTCCTTAATGTTAGTGCCCCATTCTTCCAAATTGTTGTGCTGACAAAAGTTCATGCTCTCAAGTAATCAAACTGCAACATTCAAATTAATTCAGAGAGAATGGCGCGATCCCAGCATTTAAAGCTGGGGTGTTAATATTTCAAAGGATGAGTTTGTTAATTCAAGCTTGTCACTGAGTTTCCTAGTAGATGGCAGGAACAGGTGGACAGGCGCCTCCTTGTAACACAAAGAGCTTTGTCTGCTACTACAAAAGAGGCTGGTACCCAACCTATGTCCCTTGTCACCCCATTTTAAAGCTATTTACCAAAGCAGAGGCACATACTTTATATGTAGCAAGCCATAGAGCTGTGTCAGAGTTTGACCACATAAAAAGGTTTAGTCCATTTACAATGAACAGTGCTTTCCATGATTTAATAAACTAGTCACTAGGCCAAAGCGAGCTTAGTCATGACTCAAACCAGAGGCAGGCTCAGGGAATATCTCCAAGTGTGTGAACTACTCTTAGGGAAATCAATCACACATCACTGTCAAGAGTTTCTGTCCCTACTTTTCTTTCTCTTTTGCTCATAACTACTTTTCAACTGTGCCTCCCCAGCTGGTAGGTAAGCTACAAGGAAGGAAAGCTGTCTGCTACGCCTGCTATGGGATTTGGTGGACTTACAGAAAAGATAAATAAGGATGTGTGAGGTGGGCAAAAGGGAAGCTGCTTTTGTTGCATATGCCCTGAGTCACCCTGTATACGGCTGTAGCCACGCTTGAAAAGGCACTGCCTCCTTGAGGTCTGACATCACAACTAGAAATCCCTTGTAGTGTCTTAGCCCAATAGGAAGAAATGCAAGGTTAAACCTCATACCCCCAGAAATTCTATGCCATTAATTGTGACACAAACATCCACGGTATGGAGAAATGTGAAACAGAGCTGGTCTTTGAGGAACCAAAAGACAACTCAAATATGCAACCTGAATTAGGTGTCTCGGGTGACAGCCCAGGCAGTAAAGTGCCAAACACCATTTGTCTGGTTTCACAGTCTCATCCACAGTGAGTTAGCTGGCATTTAGATGAGGCTCTGGACTTCAGGGATGGTGCAGAAATGAAGACTTTCCACTGGCCTGGCATGATGGGACAGCTGTGCTCCACATGGGACGAGATACACATTTTGGAGATTCCATGTGCAGAATGCCATGAGGCTGAACTGTGTCCCTCAAAGTTCTAAACCATGCATCTTTATTTGGAGGTAAGATTATTTTTTTTTAAGAGATAAGTAAGGTCTTGATGGGGTCCAAACCACACAGGATTGGGACTGGTGGCTTTAGAGTAAGAGAGGTCTCTACGTGGGCGCTCTGAGGAAAGGCTGTGCAAGTGAAGGAAGAAGGCAGTCCTCTTCATCAGTAATACCCACAGCAGTACAGCAGAGGGGCATCAGTGCTTACTCGCCTGCTGTATTAGAAATAATGAAATGGTAAGTACATTTAAGACTGGGGGGGGGGGAGAATAATATAATGGTGTATGTGTGGGAAAGAACACAATAAAAACCATGATTCTACAGAATGTAAAATAAAAACAAGCTTTAAAAACTGATCAATCCATTTTACACGGTACTATTTTTATCAGAGCCAGACGGTGAGTCTCTTTGCCATTAGAACTCAGGATTTCTCAGTGAGGTGCGACAGCGCCTCGGTATGTTATCTCTTCAGCCTTCATCTGTGGACTGCAGCTCTCCTTTCTCATCGGAGTTTCACGTGACGACACCTTGTGATCACATAAATCCTTCACTCCCTCCAACTTCTGCCTCTAATCTCAAAGTCGCGTCCTCTTCTATATGCGGCTGTATATAGAAGTGCAGTTAGCGCTGTCCATATACATACATGTGGGTGTAGAGTTGACTCTTGAGCATAGGCAACCTACCAGGTAGCCCACCGAAAACCCTGATGCAGGGGCTAGAGAGCAGGCTCAGTGGCTAAGGGCACTTGTTGCTCCTGCTGAGGACTTAGGTTTTATTTCCCAGCATCCACGTTGTAGTTCGCAATTATCCATAGCTTTGGTTCCAGTGGATCCAAAGCCTCCTCTGACCTCTATGGGCACTAGGCACCCATAAGGTGCACATGCGTACATGCAGGAAAAGTGTTCATACACGTAAAATAAGTACATCTATTAAAAAAATTAAAAAAAAAAAAAAGAAGACAGGCATGTTGTGTCCTGTAGAAGCGGCTGACTGCCGTTAGCGCCTTCACTAAGTGCGGATGGAGCCTCTGGAACCCTTTCCTACCCATACTGGAATGTTGACTGGTATGGTACTGCTCTGGCAATGACAGGCCATCATTTACACAGTTTCTGACACGTGCAGAGGATAATGGTCCTGTGCTCCTAGGCTGTTCAGTCCCCTCTTCCACAATGTTTTGTAGATGTATAAAGGGACGGGTACTTATGCTGGCTGGTCTCTGTGAACTTGACACAAACGGGGTTGGTCTGTGGCGCATTTTTATGGTTCATGAGTGATAGAGATGCCAGGTGCCGTCCCTGGGCAGGGCACCCTGAGCTGGTGAGAAGGCTGGCTGGACACACATGAGAAGCAAGCCAGTCAACAGCTGTCCTCTTAGCCTGTGCTTCAGGTCCTTCTAGGTTTCTTCCCTGATTCCCCTTCAGATGGACTGTGAGTGGGACGTGGAAGCTGAACTAAACACCCGCCTCCCTGTCTTAGTAACCACTTTATCGCTGTGAGGACACACCATGACCGAGGCAACTCATAAAGGGGAGGGTTTAACTGGAGGCTTTCAGAGGGTTAGTCCATCATCGTCATGGGGGCAGGCAGACAGGACACTGGGGCAGTAGCTGAGAACCCTCCATCTTTACTCAATCAGTGAGGGGAGGGAAAGGTAGGGGAAGAGGGAGACAGAGGGAGAGAGAGACAAAGTCCCCAATGACACACCTCCTTCAACAGGCCACACCTCCTAACTCTTCACTAACAGTTCCCCTGACTGGGGCCAAGCATTCTAACACACAGGCCTAAGGGGGCCATTGCCATTCAAGCCACCAGACTCACCAAATTGCCTTTGCTCAGGGCCTTTATCCCAGCAGCAGACATACTGGAGATACTACCCACAGGCACTTAGTCTTTACGTGTTGACTAGTTGCTGCTCTGTTAGTCTCCATCACTGAGAAAATAAACTCTGATGAGGAGCGAGGGCGTACTACTCTGTGAGTCTAGGGATGAACGTTCAGAAGGCAGCTGAATACTTATCAGTTCAACAAAATGGCAGCAGTTGGTTCTCCTCTAAGGCCCATCAGATTGACAGCCCCAGGACTCTGTTTGAGACTTACAATAACAGACCTGTGTTTCTTCTACTGAGCAAGCCTCAAGTTCAACCAGGCACCTACTGGTCATCTCCAAGACATCAGTGCCATCTGTTGGGCACATCTTACAGGGCCAGCTGTTACTCTTGATGGCAGGATTTATGGTCACATAAATTAGCCATCAGGGAAGATGCTTCTAGGCCAGTGCCAGCCTGACTGTTTAGTTCCTTCAGCAACGGGGTCTTACCCTTAAGTTCTGTCAGGCAACCAAGAACAACAGTTAAGAGGGTCTCTTGGAACCCCATCCCAGACCAACTACTTGAAGGAAGGTGGCCATGCCCAGGGCTGGGGTTTTATGTTAGATCTTAGGCATTGAGAATAAACCTCTTTAGTTTGATATTCTTTACTAAGACCCACTGGGGGTCCAGCTGCTGGGGGGGGGGATGCCAACACCAAGGCTCTGCCAGGCAACCATCTCTAAGGTCCAGGTAGAGGCAATCTAGTCTGATGAAATCAAGGAGGCATACCTACTGACCTCTCAATCACATCTGAGAGCATTTCTTGCCTCTTGAAGACTGCAAACAACCAGCCAATACCTCTAATAACTGTCTTGACTGCTCAATCCCCATTCCATTCTTCCAAGTCCCTTCAGTTCAGACTGGCAGTGTCTCTCTGCTTTTATAACCTTTTAATTCTTAGCAAATGACAGCCCAGACATGCATGGCTTTAACTTTCTCTTCAGAATTGTCTTCTTATTTCTAGCAATATAGAGAGGGTGGGATTTTTTTAATCTTTAAATTCTTGATTCAAAAGGATTAACAATGCCTTTTTGAATTTATCTCATTCCTTTAGTCCTTTACTGGCAGTATTCAGGAGGAAGCAGGTTACTTCTTCAACAATCTGAGAGCTATCCTCAGTAAACTAACCCGCTTTATTCCTCCCACCAGCGACCCCCCTTCCCGCAGCATGAGGCACACTCCAGTCCAGCTCCTTGCTGCTTTCTCTCCTGCTTGCTTTTTATACAGGATTTGAATATCCCAATTTCTGTGTGAATTTTTTTTTTTTTTTTTTTTTTTTTTTTTTTTTTTTTACAGTAGCAGATACACACATCTCAGTTCCAAAATCTGTACTGACCATGGTCTTTCTACCAAAAACAGGTTCAGACCATTATGGAGGCTTAGGAGCTCCAGGGCTGGTTTCTGAGGTGAGTTTTTCAGGCTTGTAGATGGTAGCTAGAATCTTTAGTGTGTAGAGCCCCTTTCTACAGTGGGGGAGTATACAAAGACTGCTCTATCCCCCTCCTTTTTAATTTTAAAAATGACATTTGTTTTATGTGTATGTACGCAGGTATGTGATGTATGTCATGGTCCAAGGGGTCTAACTCAGGTTGTCAGGCTGGGAGGCAGGCATCTGTGATTGGTGAACTATTTGCCGGTCCTCTAGCTCGCTTCTTATGAGGGCGCAATCCTCTGGCCTATTAACTTACTTAACCTTAATTATCTCTTTAAAATTCTCTGTCTCAGCAGTAGACCACAAGCTTAGCATATGCAAGGCCATGGGTTTTATCCCCAGAATGTCTTTCCCCCAAAGATCTCTTTTTTGAAAATTTGTAGATAGTGTACACACAAGTGTATGTGAACATGGGTGTGTGGAAGCCTGAAACTCACCAAATGGGTAAGACTGGCCAGCTATTGGCCTGTCTCTGCTTCCCTATTACCAGTATTCAAGCCTGGCTCTGTGCGTGCGTTTTATTGACTGAGCTATCTTCCTAGCCTACCCAAATTTCTGGATTTTCACTAAAAAATTATAGAGTATAGCGCGCGTGCGCACACACACACACACACACACACACACACACACACACACGAGACAGGATGGTTTTGAACTTATGCAGATGACGATGACTCTGCTCTTCAGATCCTAATTTTCATTCTGAAATGTGAGGACTATATGCATGTCACACCATGTCTGGTTTATGGGGACACCGAAATCAGGACTTGGTGTTCTGGTATAGACGAAGCTAAATTTCCAGCCTCACAATGGTAATTCTAATTGTTGAGAACTTGAGAAACAATCTCGTGGAGTCTAGCAAGGCTAACTAGCTTCTCATGACAAGACAGTCCTGGCTTTTCAAAGCTGCGAACCACCTGCGTCCTCTGAGCTATTTCGTTTGTACCATTTCTTGCCAATTAGTCACACTGTGCCTTGTGACACAGCTTCTATTTCTGTCATGAGGTGTTTGAATTTGTTGAACGTTTCAAGTGCTTAATTGTATTGTCCTGTGCTCCAGCAGCGTTCCCAGGGGCTCGAGTACCACAAAGAGTGGGCACCGACTTGGTGTTTGTGTAGTCACTTTATAACTTTTAATTATTTCTCAAAGTGTTAGCAACTGAGCAGTCTGTACTTGGAGTGAGCCGGCAGCATGAGCGTTAGAGGAGGTTAGGTAGCAGCCAGGTGGGTAAGTCAGGGTGTCAGTCAGTCTGGCCTTGGGAGGCTGCAGCCGCTTCCGCAGGGGAATGCAGATACATCAGGGACACCCAGGAGACCTTAATGCTCAGCCTCAGCCTATGTTTTTAGAGCGGTACCCATGAAGGTCCCTGGGAGAGAGATGCACAGTGATAAGGATGCAGGCTCCCAGGTGCCTGGCCCCGCACCCCGGCCACCAGTGCCCTACCCCCCCAAAGCCGTTCTGTGCAGCTTTCCATTTTCCTTCCCCGGCTTGCTGACTGCACGCCCGCAATTCTCCTTCCTTCTACCCTTGGCAATCGTTGATCATGTAAGTCACACGTCAGGAAAAATGATGAACATTCAGCATGTGACAACTGGCTGTTGGTTTGTTTTTGCTCTTTATTTTATATGGGAACACTGGGAGAGAATACTGCCACGGATGATGTTGTGATAATTAATGCCTGTGGCACTGCCAAGGGAGGCCTCGGGTGAATAAGGCCTCTGCTTTAAGAACTAGGGAGACCTTAGTCCCACATGCTATGATAGCTTCAGGGACACCATGAGAGACAAAGGCTAGTTCAACAGGCAGAATAATAAACTGACACTAGCAAGTGGAGAATATTAACTAATGAAACAAATCCAGTCTAAACCATGTTGGCTCAAGGCCTGGCACTTTGGAACACAAAGATGACCAGTTCCCTCCTTCCGGGGCAAGCAGGGTCCTGAGAGTGATCAGGACACTATGACAGGCGATGGACGCCGAGTCAGGGCTGTGCTCTGTGGCAGCGTTCACAGGGAGGTGGCAGGATTTATAAGCCTCAGGTGCTCGCAGGTGCACGCACATCTGGCTGGTAGAAAACCCCACAGGCCCTTCCTGGGGGCCGTCAGTCTAGGGTCCTGTAGACAGGCACCTTCATCATGTCTAAGCACTGTTGTCCAAGAGGGGACTGCTACCACAGCAGTGTCCATTCATGTGGACTAACGGTGGTAAGACACTAACTGCAAACGGATAACAGAGGCGAAAGCACAGTGCTGAGCACTGAGGCTTGGAAAACAGAGAAGGCGGGGTTTCACAGCACTGCTACAGAAGGCACCCGGTGACAGCGGCTGCGGCTGTGACAGTGGCTGTGACTGTGGCTGTGGACTGTGGCTGTGGCTGTGGCTGTGACTATGACTGTGGCTGTGGCTGTGACTGTGGCTGTGACTGTGGACTGTGGCTGTGACAGTGGCTGTGACAGTGGCTATGACTGTGGCTGACTGTGACTGTGGCTGTAGCTGTGGCTGTGGCTGTGGACTGTGACTGTGGCTATGATTGTGACTGTGGCTGTGGTTGTGGACTGTGGCTGTGACTATGGCTGTGGACTGTGGCTGTGACTGTGGCTGTGGGCTGTGGCTGTGACTGTGGCTGTGGCTGTGACTATGGCTGTGGACTGTGACTGTGGCTATGATTGTGACTGTGGCTGTGGTTGTGGCTATGACTATGGCTATGACTGTGGACTGTGGCTGTGGACTGTGACTGTGGCTGTGGCTGTGACTGTGGACTGTGGCTGTGGACTGTGGCTGTGGCTGTGACTGTGACTGTGGACTGTGACTGTGACTGTGGCTGTGGCTGTGGCTGTGACTATGGCTGTGGCTATGGCTGTGGCTATGGCTGTGACTGTGACTGTGACTGTGACTGTGGCTGTGACTGTGGACTGTGACTGTGGCTGTGACTGTGACTGTGGCTGTGGCTGTGGCTGTGGCTATGGCTGTGGCTGTGGACTGTGGCTGTGGCTGTGGCTGTGGCTGTGGCTGTGACTGTGGCTGTGGCTGTGGCTATGGCTGTGACTGTGACTGTGACTGTGGACTGTGGCTGTGGCTGTGGCTGTGACAGTGACTGTGGCTGTGGCTATGGCTGTGGACTGTGGCTGTGGACTGTGGCTGTGCCTGTGACTGACTGTGGCTGACTGTGGCTGTGACTGTGATTGCGAGAGTGTCTGTACCCAGCGCCAGAAGGCCTATAGGAGCAGCTTTCCTTGAATGGGAGTGGAAGTTTCCAGATACCCATTGAATGATGTGAAAACCTCCCAACTGCTCACTTACGTGGGAACCAGGAAATGGAGTAACTTCCAGAATATTCCACACTAGCCAGCACAAGGGCATGTCTCAGAAACAGGAATTCTCATTGCCACACAAAGGTCGCAAGCCTACAGCAAGGGGCCCACCTGACTTGTTGTCAGTCCGAGGGTCCATGATGACAAACTCTGGCCGCAGCTTGCTGATGCGCCTCCCCTTGAGGATGGGCACGAGTCCTCCCAGGTACTCCAGGTAGAGTGTGTAGCAGGGGCCCCCGACCTCTGGGTCATCCTCTGTGCGCTTCATGGTGCAGTGCAGCCGCTCATTACCAGCGGAGGGGTAGCTGACAAAGTCCCGCATGTTGTTGGGGTCTGGAATCGGGGGCTGGAGGCGGGACACAGGCAGAAAGAGCACATCTGGGATTCCAGAAAGGGCAGGGCAGGCTAGCAGAGTGCAGGCAGAGCACAGCCCCTGTGTCTCCTCTGCCTCCTCTGCCTCCCTCCGGTCCCTGCAGGTAGAAAGGCTAGGAAGGAAGAACAGAAGGGCGGGAAGGAAGGCTACCTTGATGGTGGGAATGAAGGCAGTGGACAGGTAGGAACAGAGGCGAGGGGGCAAGGTCAGCTTGCTGATGTCCTTATCTTCTCGAAGGGCGCTGGCGATGACTTGCTGGCACAGCAGCTGGAGGCTGGACACTCGGTGCTCTACTCGAACCACATACAGGGCTGGTCCTGAGGCCATCAGCAGCCGGGAGTCCCGATGGCCCCAACAGATGGAGATGATGGGGCGCTGCGGGGGGGGGGTGTCAGTTACACTTATTTCAGGAAATGAAGTCATCTGACAGTATTGAGAATGGTGGCTTTCAAAGCACAGCAGAGAACACCAGCTCTGCAGGCAATGGGTTCTTAAAGCAGGGACGGTTGCCTCAGGGCACACTCACCAAACTTCTTACAGTGCTGGCCATCTGGACCCTCCAACTACCCAGTGCTGTTCCAATGACTTAGAAGGGGAGGAAGAGCTAAATCACGTGACCCTTTTCCATCACTTCTTCCAAGAGACAGCACTTCAAGGTCAAATTAACAATGGATGTGGGGTCCCAGTCATGAAACCTGGGACAAATTGCCAGCTCTAAGCCTCCTACTTTTCATGAATCCAATAGGAATGCTGTGAGGGTCACAGGAGAAGGCAGCATGGTCTTCTGGGACCCACTGTAGCTGCAACCCAGGAATTAGGTCACTGCTCTTCTCAACCCTTTTAAACAGTGGGCCAGGGGCAGCAAGGAGGCTTGCCTTTGGAAAAGGGAGACGGGGCAGCAGGATTCCCAGGGAAGAGTCCAGGGGTTATAAGGATGTCTGAAAACTCAAGCTGCAATCCAAATATGCATATGATAGAAACCTCTTGCACTGAAATAAATCTCAAACTCTAGTATTACCTAAGTAAGAGTATTACATAAGCTGAGCACGGCAGAAAGAGATGAAAGGCTGTGATAGAGAAACTGTGAGATTCCTTCATGCTGATCCAGACAGATAGTGTGCTAAGTTAATGAGGTCTCCAGGGGTTTCAGAAATCACAAGTGGAGATGTCACATCTTTTATATGAAAGATAGGAACAGAATTTTCACAACATTTTAGTGACAAACATCAAGATAAAAGGAACATAAAGACAATTCCCTAAAACAGCCCCTAGGGTCCGCTAACCCTGGTTTCAACTTCAAAGCAAGATACAAGGCTGCAGATAATTTATCTTGTGTGTTTATCCATGAGGCTGGGCCACAGCTTCCCAGCCAAAGAAGATGATGCATGTATTAGCTGTGGATCCAGGAACTCAAATCTGAGGGCTTCTAACAACACTTCAAGCTGGGCTTCTGCAACGAGATGATTCCACAGGGTAGATCACTGAGGACCGCTGTTAACGCACAGATAGAAGGCTTCATCGTTGACACAGCAGACCAACACTGTGTGTGGATGTACTCAGTAAGCTCTGCAGCTACATATTAGGACAGAGGCCCTAGCAGCACCAGACTTACACATTTATTTACGTTTTTGTTGGGTGCTGGGAGTCCTGCTGTGGACGCGCACCAACACTGAACAACATCCCCAGCCCTCAGTTTGTTTTACAGACAGCGGCTTACCCTCTGCCTCTGCACCCCGTCCCCACTATAACATTCCTAAGTTAAGTCATGACAGCCGTCCTCGGCTTGTACAAACTGACACGCCAGAGCTGGCTGCAGAAATGTGACTTCTTCCCTGTGGTTTTCCATTCCTTTTTGACAGATGAATGGATCTGCTATGACAGAAGCACTGGGGCTGCAGAAGGCAGACTCCTGCCCTCTCCTCCTGGTTCCACTGTCCATCAAACTATCTGAATGATGGCTGATTATAGGTCAGATATAAAGTTATCCTCAGCATGCATCTCTCTTCTTTATACCAAGAATTTACACTACTAATCCAGACTGTTCACTATATGAAAGTTCCAATCGCCATCTATTTAAACAACGGAAGCACACATCCTCAGACCCCACTACAGTCTGCTGTCACGAAAAGTGTTCATATGTACTGTCTCGGGCCTCTCAGTGGTCACATAGACACTCCTGTCCCAGGTAAAGCAGGAGGACAGTGACATCAAGAGGGCTGGGCAATATAGTTCCAGCTAATGCTTGTCTTACTACCAGTGGCCACTTCTCCTAAGTACTGGTGTCCTTACTCATACAAGCAAGAGCCTGAAGAACAGGTACTACCTCACTGAGAAACTCGACTACCTGTCACTCACTAATGCTAATGAATCCCATTCTCTCCCCAGCCCTTAGGTCAAGGGTATTTATTCTACTAAAGAAACAACAACAAAACATGTTTACAGACAAGATAACAGGACAAGAGACTCCACAGACAGCACTGGTCAATGACCGCGTCCTTTACGGCAGAAAAGAATCCACAGGTCGGGTGGAGCAGAGCAGGGATGCCCCAGCAAGGAGAATTAGTAGAGGAACAGGAGAAAGCAGAGCTGCCGCACTTCCGCACGGTGAGGGAAGACGATGCCGCTCCAAGCAAGGTACCACAGGGCAAGTCAGAAAATCAAGGAAAATACGGCCTTGGCTTGAAGAAACTGGGACAGTAAAGTAATACACGCTAGAGGCATTCCACACTACAAGGCTTCAGTGAAAAGAAGGTCATCAACTTTTGGGCAGATTTATGCAGTAGGTGTTAGGGATACGGTCCTCTGAACTAAGAAAGTAGAGTAAGACCTTCTCTATCCAGGGAAGAGAATGCTGCTGGGACACAGACTCCAAGACAGACTCCAAGAACCATGACGTTTGTTTCGAGCCAAATTAAGAAATTCCCAATTAAGCAGAAAAGTTTAAGAATTTAGAAAGACTCCCAGGGGCTCCTGTCTCCTACGCCACCAGTGCTTATGTACCTCAGTCTACTGGGGAGTCGGTTGGAAGTTGTCCTTCCTTTCCTTAACACTCACAGCGCCTGCCACAATCTCTTTCTTTCCTATGAGTCTTCCAGGCTCTCCACCCTGTCCCCAGGCCCACGTTCCGCCTTGCCCTTGGCCAGTGTTCTGTTTATTTCTTCCTTTTTTGCCACAAGGTCTTATTAGCTGCTTACAAGCAGCTCACGTCTCTGCTTCCTGTCACTTCCCACTCCTTATCCTCGTGCACACACTGTCACTTTAAACAGGTAATGGTGGGGTATCTCACTCTGCTTCAGAAAACGTACTGCAGCTCCCTCTTTACCACGGCCGTTGCAGCGACATCTCCAGCATCTAGACCAGCATCAACACACAGACCAGACGGCACCACAAACACTGACGGAAAAATATTTTACAGCGTAACTTCCATCACTATGAGGAGGGTGAGACCACTCGACCTTAAGACCTCCGCGCCCAGTTTCGCCAAGCCTACGTCCACCTGCTGTCCTCAGGCTGGCATCCTTCCCTTAAATGATCCCTCTGACACTCTATCTCCTTTGCGTCTGATGCTTGCTAAGAGAGGGCCATACTCTACTCTCTAAGTAGAGATACTTCTTTTTGTGTTTGCCTTCTCTCACTATCCACTCCTTCTTCACAGCATCGGGAAAACAATTCTAACTCAAAATCAAGGTCTGTGATTACTTACGTATCCTCTATAACTGGTTTCCAAGGTTTTAGATTCTGTCTCCTCATTTAGCTCTTACACAGTGGTACTTAAAGGCTTATGCCAGCCACACAATAACCTCTCAAAATATCAGCTATGTGCATGGATTAGTAAGTGAGCAAACATGCATACTTGTTCACAAAGATACAATATTAGCAAAAGATACTTTTAAATCCTACAAATAAGACAGCTTGATTAAAAATGAGCAAAAGACTTAAAAGCCATCTCTTTAAAGACACACAAATCCCTAGTGAGATATTTAGTACAGTATCAGGCTACAAAGACAGCCACAATGAAATAGCACCTCATGCCCAGTGTGACAGCTACTATTAAAAGGAAAACACAGAACACCACTTCCAGAAATAACAAACACGAGTGAGGACATAGAGGAATCGTGACTCTTAGGAAGGTGGGTGGGAATGTACAAACAAGCAGCTGCAGTGGGAAATGGTGGGTCATCAGAAAAATTAACAACTATCCCACGACTAAGAAGTGAACTTCTGAGCACATACACGAGGAACTTACAGAAGGGTCTCAGGGAGGTATGTGTGTGTACACCCATGTTCATGGCAGCACTCTTCCAGCAGCCAGTAAGTGTGCAGGTATATGACTTCATACCAGCACTTGGGAGGCAGAGGCAGGAGGCCTCTGAGTTCAAGAGGCCAAACACAACTACAAAGAGAAACCTTGTCTCAAACAAAACAAACAACTGCCAAAGACAGAAGGAACTCAACAGGCAAACAAAATGTATTATAGCCACACAATGAGACCTATTTACACATAAAAATGAAGGCAGACTCACAACATGCTCTGTAACACAGATGAACCCCGAAGGCATCATGCTAAGTGAAATAAGCTAGGAGAAAAATGGATACATTCACTCCCTATCTACATGAGACATACATACGGAGTATAATTCACAGAGACAGGGGAAACTTCATCTGTGTCCACAAGGAGGAGGAAGGTGATCTGCCAGAGGCGCTTTAGCACGGAAAAGGCTCTGAACAACCCTTGGCCTTGTCTCACACTGCTGTGTTTATGATGAGCCTTCCCCTCACTCTTCCCTAAGCCTGCAGTCTAGGGTGGCCTGAGACCCACCTTAGAGTTCTGTCAGTTCTACAACTGCTGGTCATATTTACAGGAGGTATATGTTAAGTCTCCACGTTTCTCTTGTGCACAGACCTAGAGAATCTATCATCTCCAGGTTTCCTGTTAAGTGGCCAGATCAGAAGCAAATCCCTCTATTTTTCTCTCTGCGCATTTCATTTCAAAATGGAATCAAGCTTTTTGGCTAAAAGGTAAAAAATGCTTTCTTCCCTATTTCCCTGGTTTACACGCCATGAATCAATTGAAGAAGAAGAAAAAAAAACCTTGCCAAAGGGCCAAAGGTAACTGCAATAAGTCACTTAAGACCGGCATGTCCAAGGGTCCTCACCTGCACAAGTGTGTCCAGCGTGAAGATGTGCTCCCCTCTAACATTGTAGAACTTGACCATAGCACACTTCAGAAGAGGGCCGTTGGGCAGCTCGCTGAGCTGGGGCTGCTGCTCCATCCCAGCAACTGCCAGTAAGTCTCCCTGTGTACACCACTGGGCCACCACCTCTGAAAACACACAAAAGTTAGTTAGCAGGAGGACACAGCCCTCCTCATCAGCAGCCACGTGATGGCTTGAGTAGATTCAAACACAAAGCAACAGAGACTCTTCCTCCTTTTTCATGAAGGCACGTCTCCTACAAGGTATTTATTACGTAAGTGGGGATTGCTGTTCCTCTGGAACATAACTAAACAAATGCTGGCATGTTAAATACCTACTTCCCGTAACTTCCATAAGAAAAGGTCTGTGGCTGAGGCATGTTCTATCAGGGGTTTGCTACTTGGTGCCCTTCATGCCCATGACTAAAAGAATTCACTCATAAATTCTCCAGTTAAAAAAATGAAACAAGGCAAAACCTAAGTTTACTAATTAATTACTGAGTGGGCGCCACTGGGCCTGTCAAGTTCAGGGGTTAGATGCGCATGTGTAGGAGAGCTCTGGCTTTTGTTGGACACTTATGATGACGAGAGAGCAGAGGAGAGAACAAGGGTGTGCCTGCTAAGAGGCAGAAAGCATTAGGAGAGAGATCTTCACACTGCAGAAGAGACACCCACCTACAAATGGCTAGTAAATACTGTATCTTTATCTGGTATGAGCAATCACCTCTTGTTGGTAAAATAAATAAGTAAACAAATTCATTAACACCTATTAATGCTAATAAAATCATGGCTCTTGCCCTCTCTCAGTGCTTTAAAACCGTCATGCGGCTATATGGCGCTCAGAAGTCTAGATCCATTTGTAGAGAGGTTGAAGGGGATCCACCAAGACAACCACATAGTTCAGAACCCAGGGCTAGAATCCAGTGCCCAAATCTGTATATACTAGGTCACATCTGGCCAAAACCCATGTCCGGGAAATGATTCCCATGCTAAAGCCAATACACCCTGTAGTAACTGAAGTTCTGTAATCTCAAGAAGCTAAGAACGCATTCCCTGAGGCAAGTCGGCCTCCGGGAGTTCCCTCATTGAGTCAACACTAGCAGAGTAGGAACCAGGGCTAAGGTAAACAGTTACAAACAGAAGAGAAAAGGCTGTAAGCACCTGCAGTCATGCAACCATCAATAAAGTGGGTTTTTCATATAAATTAAATTCAAACCAGAAAAAAGGGGATTTTAAATTAAAAACAAACAAACGGGTAAACTTCCTGCTTCACATCTTTTTCATTACAACAGGAGAGGGAACCTAAAAGACACAGTACATCCAGGGTGCTCTGCACAGCTGACGACAGACCGTGTCTAGAGAAAAGCTGGGTCATGATCACGAGACTGAGATGACCCTGGATGACAGCTCTCTGTATATACACTGGAGACAATCACAGCAAATGTGGTTAAAAAGTTTAAAAATAATTTTTGAAGAAAAACAGAACTTCAGGTTAGAAGGTACATGGAGGAATTAAAAGGGCCAGCCCTTATTTTTAACTCCACGGAAGACAGGACATTCAGAAAGTAATTAGCAGAGCAGCACAAGAATTCAAGTTTGCAGCAACACAAAGAGTTACCTAACTCCTAACGGGACTGTGTGTGGTATGAAGAGCTTCTGTCTGGGGGGATCAGCAAGAGCAAATCATTCCTTACAAGTGCAGCTCTGAAGCAGCAAAAGGAAACACACACCTAAGAACAAGTACAACGTGCTTTAAAATATTCTATAATTTGAGAACAGTGAGTGTGTGGGTGGTACAGTGAAGTGCAATATCCTGCTGCCAAGTGTGGTGTGCATAGGCGACTCGTTACACCCTCGGGGTTCTGGAAGAACCCAGGCAAGAGGCCGCTGCTGTCACAGGAGGGACTCTTCATGATGGCCAGCTTAGGACAGTAACCAGCTGCATGGAAGGTCCAGCTTGTCTGGTCCCTACAATATCAAGGACCAGAACCAGACCAGGATTAGAATGTAAAGCTTTTTTTGTTTGTTTGTTTGTTTTTTAACTCTGCCCCCAGTGAACTCTGAAGAGTTTATTTTTGGGGAAGAAGGGGGGTTCCCAAAATATCCAAGGTCACAATGTCTAAGTGACCTTGAACTGCAGGATCAGAGCACTAATTTTTCCCTTGAGAAAAGACTTCCTCACAGGAAGGCACCAGCACTCATCATTCCCCTTCATGTGTGAGAGTCTGGGACCTCCACGGGCCTTTCAACTGTCTCAGGACCAATTCCTTAGTAAGCGTGCCAAAATTCTAAACGCTTCTGTGCACAGGAAACTTGTGTACCTTCCGCTGCCTCCAAAGGCACGGGTGCCGCCACCTGAGTAAAGTGACAGTGAGTTGTAAACAGAATCAACAATAGGCCACCCTTGCGGGAGCGGAGAAAGGACGAGAAGATGAACGCTGAGCATGGAGCCCGACTCAGGAGTAGTACAGACTTGTTAAGATAAGCAGGGAGGTTAGCAGTGCCCTTGTCCACCACAAACGCCATCACACAGGACAGAACTCAACAGGCACCAGCCTGGAAGGCAGATGGGCACAGGTCCCACCTGAGGGACAGGTGTATGTTGTACCTTTCAGCCCTGAACGGATGACAGTCGGGGACAAGTCGTCGTAGTTGTTCATTAAGCTGATGTCTCCCGAGGTGAAGCTGACGGTGAGTAGAGGCTTGATGTTCTGCACAGGGACGGGGTATGCCGCAGGGCCATCTGTAGAGACACAAGGCACAGGGCAAGGCAGGCAAGGGTTGGAGTCAGCAGTGGGCGGGCAGGCATGGCGCTGGAACCGTAACTGAGGGCTTGCTCCTTATGTGTGAGTAAGAAGCAGAGAGAGATAAATGGGGATGGGATGGCTTTTTGGAGCCTCAAATTCCATACCCAGTGACACACTTCTCCAAGCGGCATGCCCCACAGTCCTTCCCAAACACTTCCATCAGCTGGGGAGCAAGTACTCAAACACAGGAGCCTGGGGGGGGGGGTCACCCTCACTCAAACCACCACAGTTGTCCAATAACGCAGGTGCCAGGCTGGCCTGGGGTGCCAGCAAGTGAGGCTACCACTGTAGTTCTCAGGGGCCACACAGGGCACCCGCATGGGCAGCTGGGGTGAGGCTAGGATGGAGGGTATGCAGTCCGGGAGTAACTGAGGGCCACAGCCCACGGACGTTTATTAACGTGTGTGTTAAAGCATTACGTGTCTCTTCAGACACTAAGTGGAAATTATTTAAATGGTGTATGACATAAAGAATGGTGGGGGAGGGTCAGACAGCTGCCGCACCCACGTTACTTAGAAAGCAAACGGCCGCAGAGGGGGCTCAGCAGCTAAGAGCACTCTGCTCTTCCAGAGGGCCGGGGCTGGATTCCCAGCACCCACAGGATGGTTTACAGCCATCCTTTACCGGGGACCTACTGCCCTCTTCTGGCTTCTGCAGGCACTGCAGGTATGCGGTGCACAGACACAGATGCAGGCAGATCTATTTATGTAAAATAAATGAATTCTTAAAAGCTGGGTTTGGGGGGAGGCCGTGAGACAGGGTACCTCTGTGTAGCACTGGCTGTCCTGGAACTCACTTGTAGACCAGGCTGGCCCCATAGTCACAGAGATCCACCTGCCTCTGCCTCTGCCTCTGCCTCTGCCTCCTAAGTGCTGGGATTAAAGTTGTGCACTACTATCGCCTGCCAAAAAATACTTTTTAAGTAAAAGCCTCTCTGAACAGCTGGATGGTGAGCCGCTCAGAATCTTCTGTAGGTGCCACAGTCACACTGAAGTCATCTCCAGCAGCCAGTCAAGGCGGCCTCCTGGACACTCAGCAGCTGGGTAACAGCAGACTGCATTCCTGACCTTCACTCTCAGCCATGCATTATAATGCCTCTGCACTCAAACACTGCTCCAGCTAAAGGCAAGGGTGTGCCACCCCAGAGCTTTTGAGAAGTGCAACTCAGGTTACAGAGCGTCAGCAACAGCATGCTGCCTCAGATCAACTTTAGACTTGCTTTCTAAACTTGTTCTTCGCACCCCATTTCCTCTAGTAAAGTAAGAAGAGAGTCGGGTTTCCCATCTATTTAAAGACCAGCTGACTGCATTTCACAGAAACTGACTTCACTGCTCTGAGGCTGCAGACGTGTAACCAACATTGTTATCAAGGCTGTGTCCCATCAGGAAAGGGATAGTCACCATCTGGAAGAAATTGTGGGTGATGAACACTCTCCCTCCCATGACCCAGTGGATCCCGAAACCCTTGTTTTGCACATGGGACAAACTCCTAGGAGGCATTTGTCTCTGTGACTGGAGGAGGAGACAAGTGTCAGGTAGACATTGATGACACTGGTCAAGCCCTTCACAGGATAGGATGCTCATGATCAATGCATGGCTTCAACTCCAGGGTACACAGTAAAATTAACTGAAGACAGGACACCCTTTTAAGCAAGGAGCTGTTCCTTTCCACCTTTCCACCATTTCATAATACACTAAAAACAGAAAAAGGAAAAGGGAAAAGAAAAGACAAGACGGCGCGGGGTTGGGACTCTGGGGAACAGCCAATGCTGACTCAGGCCAAGGCCAGTAGGTATTACAGGCTCCTTCAGCTCTGATCTCTTCCCTTTAGTCTCTTACCCGTCTGAAAAACTAGACACACTACCAGAGGTGGAGGAGGCTGGGTCTGAAATCATCAGCACTCGCAGTGTCTGACACCAGTAGAGCCTGCAGAGGGGCAATGGTGCCTGTCATCGAGAGAGGGGACAGAGCACCAGCAAGGGAACCAGCTCCAGCTGCTGGTGTCCGGGACAGCGCAATGAGTCTTTCTTTTATACACTGAAGCTAAGCTACCGGCTTTGAAACCGCTAGGGAGTTGGCTATACCACATAATAAATTATATTAACAGTATAGAATTTTTCACCTGCAGTGCTCTTTATTCCCATTAAGCAGCTAAGCCCTGCAAAACCCCAGGGACAGCAGGAGACACATGTCTCATTTTATGTCGAGGAAAACCCAACCCTCTGGAGTGCAACCAACTCACCCAGTGATCCTGAGAACAGGGGTGGCAGGGAGGGCTCACATCACGGGGAGAGGAGGCCAGCTCTGTTGCACTTCACAGAAGAGTTCTCTCCAGTGAGTGTGTGTGCGTGTGCGTGTATGCTTGAGTGTGTGTGTCTGCGTGTGTGTGCTCAGGTGAGTGCAGTGTGTGTGTATGGTGTGTGAGTGTGTGTGGTGTGTGTGTGCTCACGTGAGTGCAGTGTGTGTGTATGTATGGTGTGAGTATTGTGAGTGTGTGTCTGCGTGTGTGTGCTCATGTGAGTGCAGTGTGTGTGTATGTATGGTGTGAGTATTGTGAGTGTGTGTGTCTGCGTGTGTGTGCTCATGTGAGTGCAGTGTGTGTGTGTATGGTGTGAGTATTGTGAGTGTGTCTGCATGTGTGTGCTCATGCGAGTGCAGTGTGTGTGTGTATGGTGTGTGAGTGTGTATAAGTGAGTGTGTGTGCGCGTGTGCTCCTGTGCTTGAGTATGTGTGCGTGCTCGTGTGCGTGTGTGTGCTGTAAGTATGCATGCGTGAGTGTGTGTGGTGTGTGTGTGCTCACGTGAGTGCAGTGTGTGTATGTGTGCATGCGTGTGCGTGCTCGTGTGTGTGTGCGTGTGTGTGTGTGTGCGTGCTCGTGTGTGCGTGCGTGTGCGTGCTCGTGTGTGTGCGTGCTCGTGAGTGCATGCGTGTGCGTGCTCGTGTGCGTGTGCGTGCTCGTGTGTGTGCGTGCTCGTGAGTGCGTGCGTGTGCGTGCTCGTGTGTGTGTGTGTGTGTGTGTGTGTGTGTGTGTGTACGTGCACGCGTGCGGTGGGCAAATGCAGTACAAGCCAGTGGCTGCACACCAGTTACCTTGGGGAGGAGAATAGTCATCTGAGTCTGTGTCACTTTCACTGCTGTCCTCCACCAGGAAGATGGGGTAATTCCAGGACATGCTGAGGATGCCATCGGATTCATGCAAGAGGACATGGGCCAGCATTCTGCCATGGCAGTCCATGACGATCACCTGTCCATCTGCTGTGCCAAACAACACCTGTAACCAAAGATCAGGGCCCTTGAACAAGCAGGAGTGATCTCGGTCTCAGTCTGTTTTAGGAACACAGAATGCACGCACATCTGAAAAGTCATTAAAACTGAAGAAGAGAGCACAGTGCCTGTTTCTTTTCTGTTGCTGTGGCTCTTAGTCCCCGGCAACAGCCCCTACAATGGAGAAACCACGGTGGCAGGAGCTTGAGCCGCTGCCCACACTGTTTCCACAATCAGGGTCAGAGAAGAGTGGATGCACACACATGCTCAGCTCACTTCCCCATCTACACAGCCCAGGACCACAGCAAGAGTGGTGCAGCCCACAGTGAGAGATCTCCCTACTCAGCGTAACCAAGATAACCCATACCCAGGGGACACTTCCCAGGTGCATCTAAGTTTGTTTTGTTTTGTTTTGAACCAAGTTGACAACCATCAGAATTTTTGAAACCAAATGTTACTGGCAGCATGACTATATCATGCTATTCAGGCATTTTCAAATACCAGGAAAACCTGCTTTACTGTTTTTTGTTTCTTCTGTTTATTCTGACTAAAAGAGAGGGGCTAAGAAAAGATATTCATTTGTTTGGAAAAGTAAAGATTCAGCAGAAATTCATTAATACATTTGGTCATGTAAGCATGTTGTTATTTTACCATATTTGAAAAACAATATGCTCCTAAAATAACTTTTTAATTAAAAATGTTAGATAGCTTATAAAATAATGGGTTTCACTAATATATTCTTATACAAGCATATTTTTTTCCTGAAAAAGTTTAACTTGCATGTTTAGAATGTTTTCACATGACAGTAACAATGAGTAAATAATCAATGCAGTGGCGCACGCATGGTATTAATGCATTCACTATATGCTTACTCTGGAGCTAAGCATGAAGCTAACCACGCAGGGCGACTCCTGAGATGTTTTCTCGGATCCCACAACACATGCAGGCTGGGTGCAGCTTCTCGCTGAGAGCAGCATGGGCCGCCACACAGATAAGTGTGTCACCAGCTGGACATCACTAGGGACCCATGGATCCCAGGAAGCGTGATGAGCCCTACCACTGGCTTTCAGGCAGTCTCTAGAGATCCTGCATCTGACACTGTTACAAATGTATTTCGTGCTGAACGTACACGTCTCACTGACAAACATGCCAATCGCCGCCTATATTTCAGACACAAGTAGCCTACTGAGGGGTTGTGTCTAGATAATGTCACAAGAATGGGACCTTCGTGGTGAGATTAGGGATTGGTACCCTTCTAGAGGAAGAGATACTATTGTAGTTTCTCCCTCTAAGCATCAAAGAGAGGCAATGTGCGTCCCTGGGGTCAGCCACCTGCAGGCTGAATGAAGTCCTCACCAGTAATCAAACTGGCCGATGCCTTTGTCTTGACCTTCTCAACCTGCAGAAATATGAGAAATTGATGTCTGTCTCCGCCAACACGTTTACAGTGTTTGTTCTGGCAGCCGGAGTTGAAGTCTGAAGGATGGGAGCTTTGTGTATCAGCGTGCGTCTCCCCACGACCTGCCGAGCATTAAGCTCGGCAAAGTGTCTGCAGAGGGCAGGGCGCGCCTCTGCACGTCCTGACACAGTTTCTATTTTAGAGACTGAGCAGAGAGCGCGAGGAGAACAGACATCTAAGTCTTTTACAGAAAGGACTGGCAGTTTAATGTGTGACTGCTATTCAAGATCCACACCAAGGCAAAAGAGAACAAACCACCAGCTCCGAGAGCCCACTATGAATTCACTCCAACTGTGGCTCCCACATGAACAGTCCACTACTGAGATGGCCTGAAGGAGGAAGAAGCCCACACCCCAGCCTAGCTGTCAGCAATGGCTGAGAAAGCAACCATTTCGGAATAAGTATGTCACAGATAACCAAACAACACTGACGCACAACATGAAATCAGATCTGAAAAACAAAAATCTCCATCCTGAGTTCTTTTTCACACCCAACACTTCCAATGAGAAAAGCTTGCGTGAGGAAAGGCCTTCGGGAGAGCTAGACAGTGTAGTGATGAATACATGTGTGGGAGCACCTCAGTCTCTGGCCACAGGCCTCGACAGGAAGGAGTACAGCCAAGGCAACCCGATGCCGGAGCTTCCGCCCCAGCACAGCAACCCCTCCCAAGCTCCTCCTTGTCTTGCTGTTCAAGGTCAAGCCTCTTAGAGTCTACAATCATGGCTACCGCCCAACAGACCTCAGCTGCAGTCAAGCCCTTATTGCGTCTCTCTCCTAGGCCTTGGAATCACTTATCCAACGGTCCACCTGCTATATTCCCCTGGGAGTGTCAAAAGCCCCTCCATGACTGCATGCCCAAGGAGAAATACATGCTCCTGTCTTCACCCAGAGCAAACCTAGGCCTGCTTCTGGCCAGTAAAGAGTCTGATTAGGCTCCAATGACAGCGTCTGTCTAGTACTCCACGGGTACTCATGGACTTCAGGGTTGTCCACACACAACTCACCTCACGCTAACCGCAGCCTTCACTCACAGCACTCTACACGCCATTCTGGTTTTGGGTCAGTCTCTGTCATACCCTTCAAGGGCAGGTCTGTACCCCAAGACGTCACAAGGTTCCGTGAAGAATGATTGGAGACTAACTGTAAATTAATTTCTGCAAAAATCATTGGCTTTTGGCCAAATTTTTCTACCAATCAAATTCTGACTCTTTTTTTCTCTTCTTTAAATTAAACCCAATGTTCACACCCTCCTCTAGGAATGCCCTCCCATTTCCCTTCTCCTATGTCTTCAGGTGAGAGCAGGCATGAATGAGGCTCTGTAAGATTATGCTGCTATTCTTCAGCAGACAGCTAGTTAACGCTATCTCTGCATTTCAATCACTTTTCAGAGAACTATAAAGTACTAGGCAGTTTCTTCTTGAGATTTATTTTATTGTACTTTTAAAATTATAAATATTGTGAGTAGGTATGTGTCCATGAGTGCTGATGCCTGCCCACAGAGACCAAGAGTCAGGTCCCTTGGAGCCGGCATTACAGATGACATGGTAAGTCACCTTACCTAGGTGCTGGGAACTAAACCTGGGTTGTCTGCTAGAGCAGGAAGCACTCTTCATGGCTGAGCCATTTCTCCAGCTCCAGTGATTTTAGTAATCCATATGTGAGCTGGAGAGTTTTACACCAATGTGACACAAGCTAAAGTCATCTGAGGGAGGGATCCAGAGAGAGAGAAAGAAAGAGAGGGAAGGAGGGAGGGAGGGAGGGAGACAGAGACAGAAAGAGAGAGACAGACAGACAGAGAGAGAGGGAGAGAGAGAGAGAGGGAGAGAGAGAGACAGGGAGAGAGAGAGACAGGGAGAGAGAGATCACCTCAGTGAAACTGGGCTGTAGTGATTAATGGGGGAAGGCCCAGCCCACTGCGGGTGGCATGACCCCTGGGCTGGTGGCCCTGGGTTCTGGTAAGAAAGCAGACTGAGAAAGCCACGAGGAACAAGCCAGTAAGCAGGCCTCCGTGGCCTCTGGGCTGCTGCCTCCAGGTCCCCGTCCTCCTTGCGTCCTGTCCTGTCCTGACTTCCTTCAGTGATGAGCAGCATGTGGGAGTATGAGCCAGATAAAGGCTTTGCTCCCAAGCTGCCTTTGGTGATGGCGCTCCATTGCAGCACCAGAAACCCTGACTAAGACAGTATGTACATGTCTTCACTTCCAAGTACAACTAGTTTGAGATGAGCACTTTCGTATCAGCAGTTGACAGTCAACCCTGAGCAGGAGAGAGGAAAGAAGCAGCACCATTCCCAGGACTCTTATTTTGGAAGCAGCAGCATCTCACCAGCACCATTATCTTCTGACAAAATACTCACCATCTACATTCTGAAGACCGGACCAATGAACCGCATGTCAACAACACATGCTTCCACGAGCAGCTCTTGGTAATGGCGTGTAATTAACAGCACTGGAATTAGTTCCTGAAGGAGGTAAGGACTTTTCCATAAGGGGGAGACAGTAACACAGCTAGTGGCAGACCTGAATGGGCTGCTAAGGCCCAGAATGAAAGGACGTCCTCCCTTTCTTCAGAGGGAGCCTCTGTTCTGATGTACAACTCACACACACTGCCCTCTCAAAGACCTCCCGGGAGCACTCACAACAGTGGCCCGCAGAGGAGCTTCAAGGCTAGGCCTAGACTTACGTCACTGAAGAGCTTCTAAAATGGAGCAGCCGTAAATGAAAGACCTGCTCACCTGCCAGACTATTTCCTGGTTCATTTTGAAAAGACATGAAAAGAAGTTTCACACTTGACTGCACCCACCACTCCTAAACCCGTGTCTTAGGGCTAAACATACAATTCTGTAATTCTGCAGACACGTCGTCTTTAGCTGCAGAAAAGACCACTTAATTCTAACCTAACCTAGCCGCTATGAGGGGTTCCCCTCTGCTGCCTAGAAACGAGCCTGTACAGTAAAACAATGCCAGGGGTTCTCTTCCCTCCTCCCTGCGGACAGATCCAGGAATGACTCTGCAGTGTGCTACACAGCCAAAGGGGCCCGTCTTTATTTTAAGCCCTTCACTGATCATGCAGCTGCTTTTTAAAACAGCCCAGGACATGAATCATCACAACGGAGGCAACAAGGAAAGGCAAGACAGACTCCTGCCTTCTCTGCAATCTCATCCAACCAGTATGCTGTTTAATTTCTAGTTTGGAGCATTTTGCTTTGTTTTGCATGTATTCTGAAATTTTTGAGAGCTTTGTGGAAGAAATTTCTTTAACCAAAAGAGGTACAGCTACTGTGTTTTTAGGTGGTGTTTTACTTTCTGTTGTTGTTTTGGTCACTGAGGGTAGTTTCTAAGACCCAAAGCTGGGCGCACCTGAGGTCTCTGTTCCCAGGAGGCTGGGCTGCTTATCAAGACCCTCATGGCTCTCTCTGGGCTCAGCTAATTACGGAAACACTAGATATAATAAATCATAGATAAATAGAGCGCTCTCATGAAATTTACACTAAACAAATGTAAGGACGGGGTGGGAGAAAACTGTTGTCTGCACATCTTAAAGTCAACCTTGTGTGAGACTCCCTTCACATGCTTCCCTGCTACCACAGCCTGATGGATGATGGCTACCTGAAGGCACGTCTGGCTACACGCTGACCTCCAGACCAACTTTCCAGGGTTCCTCAGGCATTCCTACCATTCCTATGCAATTGTCATGCTGTCTTTTCATGTCTGCCCACGACAGCCCATGCAGTCACCGCCAGCTGACATCTGTCCTTCCTGGGCTGGCTGGTACTGGCCTTGGATTGTCCTCGGCATCAGTGACAGTCCTGTAGACTCTGCTCTAGTCACTGCATATCTCAAGTACTGTGGGACGGCACAGACCCGCACGTTAGAACCTCTCAAACCCTACAGATCAGCCTGCCTCTGCCCACATGCACCACGCCCCGCCTGCCACTCAGCCCTTTTGTGAAGAAGCGTATTAGGAGCCACAAGGAAAAAATTGTTTTCACCATATTTAGGAATGCACGTGGAGAACTTTGTAAATGAGAATGCAACTAGACCAGAGGCTGAGTCCTTCCAGGAGCCACCGTGGCTTCTTCCACTCTCACTGGCCTTGGAGACATTATTCCAGAAAGACTCCCGCAACACACTCATGGATTACAAAACAAGTTCCCGTATCCTGAAGCCAAGCCATTACAAAATAAGTATGAACTGCACTCAGGACAACTGAAGCTGGGCACGGATAACAACCAGTGTGTTAGGTAAAAACTTCTCCTTCGACAGGCATGCAGTCCTGTGGAGCCCTGTCCCTATCACAGAGGAAGGCCTGAGGACTGTTTTTTCTTGGGATTCTCTTCCCATGTTACTATAGGTGTGCATTCATCTTTTAGACAAAATTCCAAAAATTTGACTTTGAGGCTTTGGTGAGACCGGGCTGGAGGTCTGTTACTACCTTTGCCTTTCTGAAGAAGGGAGCAGAATGTCAAGCCCTCAGCAGCCTTCACCAGTGGCAGGATAGGACATCAAGACCTGGAACGCCCTGGGGAGGTAGTGTAAATGTCTACATCTCAAAGCACTTCCATACTCAAGTGGTCTGGGCTCCCAAACCCAAGAACACACAGAGGAAACCAAAGTCAGGGTTTCTCAGAATGGCGACAGCTTCGCCGCTTCCCTGTGCTGGGCCGGTGTGCCGCTTCCCTGCGCTGGGCCGGTGTGCCATCTACAGACTCTCTTGCTGATCATAGCCGTCATTTTTTATGTCTGCCTTCCTTCCCCCCAACCCTGCAACTGTTCTAATATAAACACTGTTTATCCTAGTGCTGTTTATGTGAACTTCTCCTTTCCAATAATTTAGATGCCCCCAAAATTATGTTGTTTTCCAGCAAATTTACTGAATGTGACTATATTTTCAGATGAGGGCTGAAGAAAAGCCAGTGACAGTCTAATCCATCCTGGTAGAGAGACGCCAGGGCCACAGGTATCTTGAGGAAGAAATGTAAGGACACTGGAAGCACTGACCATCATAGGCCAAAGACACAACGCTAATGTCTCGCTCGGTCTTGACCTTCAGCTTCAGAACCGCGAGAAATGAGTTTCGGCTGGCTAAACCACCCATCTGTGGTGCGTTGCTATGGCAGCCCTAGTAAAATATACATACTCCTTGTCCACTGTCCAATATCCAGACAGGGTCTCCTTCCCTAACACAACACAAACTTTCAGCATGAAGCAAAACGCAACATTTGAAAAAATTTTTGCCTGTTTTAACTTAAACTGGGAATGATGGAAACATGATATGATGATATGAATGTGTGGTAACTAGAGAGCTACAGACAATTTAGTAAAAAAAAAGAAAGAAAGAAAGAAAAAGAGAAAGAAAGAAATATGACTCAAAAACAGATGATATGTATAGTTTCCATGTTATACTGCTTGCTTTAAAAAATTATTCTATCTCTGGTATGAAATTTTGCATTTTATGTTTCCTCCTATACTTGGTAAACACATTTTATATTTGCAAAGGTTTAAACTAGTCAATAATTTATTTTAAAATGATCAACAAACAATTTTATGAGTCAATGTGCTACTTTACCATTGAATCATATAGGGACAGCAAATGAGTAGTTGGAATTATACTTGAGCAAAGCAACCAGAGGCTTGGTGTCATGAAGGTACTCGGAGCTCTACCTCACACTCACCCGGTTCCTCTCACCATGCTCAGGGTCCCTGCGGCAGTTCACAGTGTGGCAACCCATGGCAACCACGTCATATCCAGATTTCTCCCTAGCACACTGAGAGCTCTGTCGGTCTGCCACTCTCATAACCGCGCCCTGTGGCCTGTTATCTCCGCAGACACCGTCAGTGGCTTAGCCACACTGAATATACCTACTCTGCATAAGGCCCTGTTTTCCATCACACAAAAAGCCTTTGAGTGCAGCTGATTCTTCCTGCTTTTGCTCTCAGAATTCACAAAGTATATTCCCAGGGTGGATGACAAACTACATCTCTGACAGACACTGGCCAACTTCCCTGACCAGAAGTCATGGGGACACTGTCCACACCCCGGCCCAATAGCCTCAACACCATCTGTGTTATCTCATTATTACTACTCATGAGTGAACTGTGCTAATTTTCCCAGAGAAAAAATTTTCCCCAATATGATTATTAGTTGAATTTCCTTTTCTACTTGTTACCTACTATTGATTTGGATTTTAAAAATGAATTTATATGAACATTTTATATAATTAAAACATTAACTGAATTACCACATTAGGATTTCTCTACTCTTTTATTTCATTTACATACTTTGTAATTTTCACCTCAACAGTGTTCTTGTTTAATCTTTCCCTTCAGGAAAATAACGCGGGGCTTCGAGCACACCTGACAAGCTTTTGTACTGGTGAATGGTGCCCTCAACACTTTGAGACGGGTGCCCTCAACACTTTGAGACGCTGTTAGAGGCTTTTACGTCTGTCTCCTCAGCCTCCTCCTCCACCTGCTATGGTAACGGCGCAAAGCAGTGTTTCAGGGCATTACCTGCTGGTCGTCAGGGGTCCATATGCCACACGTGATCTGGCTTTCCAAGTTGATTTCAGATGACCAATGTCTTTGTCCACTGACAGAGCCAACCAAGACAAATCCATCGCGGTATGAAATGAGCGCTTGAGTCCCATCGTGGCTCCAAGTGAAGTCACTCACCTTAAAGACATAGCGAAGGGCCAGTTTACAGCATGAAGAGGAAACACTTATCTAAGCCGAGGAGTACGAATAGTTTATGCTTCTGTTTAAGATCAAGACGGCCTAAAGACAACACTATAAAAGGGAAGACTACAGTAGTCAGGCACGGTGATGCATCCCTGGACTTAAGGCACACTGCAAGCTATCACAGTGAGCTCCAGATCATCCTTAGCGCCAAGATAAGACCTTGCCTCAAAATTCAAACGAAGAAATCCAACCAATCAACCCCTCACCAAGAAAACAAAACCCACCCCCCAGGAGCAGGGTGTGTCCTGGGTGGTAGGTAAACAAGACCCTGAGTTTTAGATGCAACTCTGTGGAGAGGGGGGAAGATGGTGAAGGGGAGGAAAGCACAGTAAAAATCACCGCCACAAAACACAGCAACAACTACGTGCCGGCACTAGAGAGGGCTCTCCTGTACTTGAATTCATTACGCCTGCAACAGCCATCCAAGGACGCATCACCACTCCATATACAGAGACTCTAAGGCACAGAGGACTGAAGCCACTTAGCCTTAGCCACACAGCCAGCGAGCATGAGAGACATCGAGCGGAGTCACCTCAGAGACACCTGGCCCCAGAGCTCTTGCCTTTCCCACGCAGCCTGCCGTGTGCATAGTAACGCATTCTCCATCACCACCTGTTGGTCAGTTACAGAACAGTCGAGTTCTACTCTCCTAATCCTGTCGCAGTACTAGAAAGGAAACCTCTGATCAGCATGAAGGGGTAGAAATCTACGTGGAAAGCTTAGGCTTGCGTATTGAGTAACTCAGTGTTACTCAGAACAGATATTCAAATGCTGCTTTTCCATTAATTTCTGTGCTGAATTGCTTCTTTGGGTTTTTTTCAATGTCACTATTCTCACACCTAATAATTAAGGTTGGGCTACAAGTGTATTTTACTGGTAAAGCCCTTGACAGCAACCTTGATTCCAACCATGGAAGGGAAAGGTGATACGTTTCTTTCATCTTACGACTTTAACCATGTCTTCACAATTTGCAAATACAGAATTTTATATATATATATATATCTTATTCATCTTAATTATATGTACATGTGTCTGCCTGAGGGTATGTGCCCAAATGATCCACACTCATGTAACAAAGACATGTGCTCAACTATGTCATAGCACCATTATTTGTAATAGCAAGAACCTGGAAGCAACCTAGATGCTCCTCAACTGAAGAATGGATAAAGAAGATGTCTCACTTTTACACAATGGAATACTACTCAGCAGAAAAAAAAAAAAAACAATGGAATCTTGAAATTCCCAGGCAAATGGATGGAACTTGAAGAAACCATCCTGAGTGAGGTAAACCAGTCACAAAAAGAGGAACACGGTATGTACTCACTCATATATGGATTTTAGACCTAGAACAAAGGATCACCAGCCTATAATTAAGACCGCCAGAGAAACTGGGATACAAGGAGGAACCTAAGAGATTCATACAAGGTCCCTCACAGAAGGGGAAAGGAACAAGATCTCCTGAGCATATGGGGAGTGGGGGGAGGGCAGAGAGGGAGATTGGAGAAAGAGGAGGAGAGGAGAGGAGAGCATGTGGGACCAGGAAGATTGAGTCAGGGGATAAATAGATGAGAGAAAAAAATTAAGAGAGAGAGTGAGACCATAATAGAGGGAGCCATTATAGGTTTGAAGAGAAAACCGACTCTAGAGAAATGTCCAGAGACCTACAAGGATGACACCAACCAACAATCTGAGCAACAGTGGAGAGGCTACCTTAAATGCCCTTCCCTGATGATGAGATTGATCTAACTTATCCACCATCATAGAGCCCTCATCAGTAGCTGATGGAAACAGAAGCAGACACCCACAGCTAAACACTGAGCCGAACTCCTGGAATCCAGCTGCAGAGAGGGAGGAGTGATAAGAAAATGGGGTCAAGACCAGGTTACAGAAACCCACAGAGACAGCTGACCTGAACAAGGGGGGAGCTCATGGACCCCCAGACTGATAGCTGGGAATCCAGCATTGGACAGACTCAGAGCCTCTGAACGTGGGTCTCAGTTAGAAGACCTGGGCAGTCTAAGGGACCTCTGACAGTGGAACTAGGATGTATCCCTGGTGCACAAAAGGACTTTGGGAGCACATTTCCCATGGAGGGATACTCCCTTAGCCTAGAGGCAGGAGGGCAGGCCTAGTCCCTACTCCAGATGACTTGACAGATTCTGATGATCCCTCCTGGAAGGCATCACCCTCCCTGTGTGTGTGTGGGGGGGGGGGGGTAGGGTGATGGGATGGGAGGAGGTCAGGGGGCATGGGAGAGAGAGAGGGAGGGGGAACTGGAATCGATATGTAAAATAAGAAAAAACACGTATTTCCATACGTTGCCCTATAGCCAGTCTTACGGAGGCATGGTCTCAATCCAGGTTCCCTCCCCCTTTCAGGGACATGCCGCTAGCACACTGGGCAGCACAGGGCGCACGTTCTTACTAGCACGAGCTTGTCTTTGACAGCAGTCTTCTCCTCTCACTGGGGTGGTGATATGCTTTTCAACATTTCTTCATAGGCCTGCTGTCTATGCGTATGTTTCCTTCTCAAGAGGATTTATGTAAGTCTACTGTCCAGTTTTTAATTGGGTCATCTCGGTTTTTCTGTTGTATTCCTTGCGCCTCTAAATATTAACCTCTTGTGAGACGCAGTTTGCAAACACCCCGCATTATACAGGCTGCCATTTCCTTTGTTATACACAGCTTTCTGATTTGATATAAGCCTGTTTATTTTTGCTTTTGCTTCTTGTGCTTTGGGGGTGTTATCACAAAAAAGGTAATATAGGAAGTTCAAATGAACTGAGTTTACTACCTCAGCACGAGGCAGCCAGAGTGCATGGTACCTGCTGAATAGAAGCAGGGAGATCATGAATTCGAGCCAGCAGAAGGTGCACACTTAGGGAGACTGTGTCTGAGAGAACCAAGGACTGGGGGTGTACCTCAGTGGTGGCGTCGGTCCAAACGTGAGCAGCACCCCACACACCTCCACCCATACCTGCCCACCTGTCTCCTTTCCACCTGGGGAACAACACCGCAGAACAAGCACATACTCAATGCTAGAAGAAATAGCAGAAGCCCCTCTTTGGGGGTTGTTTGAGGACTGCAAAGGCCTATGAGTCTCACTTACTGAACAGGGCCCTTGCATTACTTGAAGCTGAGCAGCTCTTTGGCCACATCACTGCCTGAGGCAGCTTTTCATCAGAACTTCTCCGAGTATGTGCCTGGCACAGCCACCCTTGGTGGCTAACGCTGTGAAAGAATGCCTGTACTGTTCCACACCCGCTTTGGAATAGTGGCCTCGGGATCGTTTCCTGAAAAAGAAACTCCAGCACTGGCTTCTTTCACTCTGTGCGCTCCAACCAGATCATCTGCTGCTCCTCAACAGCGGGGCTCTTCTCTAAGCTGAACCAAACATGTGCCGTCTCCAAGATGCACAGCTACGCTTTCTGCCAGACACTTTCCAGGTGTACTGTGCAATGCTGCCTCAACCGATGAGCAGCATTATCTGTGTGTGTATTTTTTTTTTTTTTTAAAAATAATGTGAGCCCTAACTGCAACATTACCAAAAGCAAACAGGACTCCCCCAAATGACAGTATTAACGATAGCAACTAACTGTTCATAGCTTCCAGGGTTTGAAGAACCATTTTAAACAGCAAAGGAACAGGACACTGTCCCTGTGACACAGGCTAAAGCAAGACTGGAGTAGCGCCTGTAGTCACGGCCACCTGTGAGCACTGAGTACGGCCCACACCAGCTCACATGCCCCCAGGGGGACATCACCCTACTTGTCTTGAATCTGAGTCTGTTCTAAAGTCTCTGTGGGAAAAACTGTGGAAGGATGTGACAGGCGTATCAATTACACAGCTTCCAGATGGAAACAATGGGGGTCGGAGTGTGTGTGTACGCCCGTGTGTGCATGTGCGTGTGTGCGTGTGTAGGGGGCAGGAGACCCTCGCTGAGCAAGGACAGTGCTAAGGAAACATGGAGTGGGAGCTGTGGCCTGGCTCGTACGGTGTTGAGAACAGAATGGTTTGGAGTTTTATTGTGTCTCTCCTAGAAACAATGTGGCAGAATGTCTGAGAAGGACAGTGGGGTCTGGGTCCTCACTTTCATGCCTAGAAGCCTCCTTGGGCAAGTTATTCAACACCCTGGATTTTTGTTATTCAACACCCCGGATTTTCTGTCTTCTACTTGCTGAGAACAGCAAATTTTCAGAATAAAGTTCCCGTGAAGCTTGAGAGAGAAAAAATACATGGAAAAAAATGACTTATGGCATATGTCTTAGTCATCACAACCAAGGCAAGTGTAATGAAGGCAAATGTTTAACTGGAGGCTCAGAGCCCTATCTTCATGGTGAGAGATGGCAGCGTGCAGGAAGGTTCTGGAGCAGCAGCTCTGTGTTTAGTTTAAGTGGAGGCTCAGAGCCCTATCTTCATGGTGAGAGATGGCAGCGTGCAGGAAGGTTCTGGAGCAGCAGCTCTGTGTTTAGTTTAAGTGGAGGCTCAGAGCCCTATCTTCATGGTGAGAGGTGGCAGCGTGCAGGAAGGTTCTGGAGCAGCAGCTCCGTGTTTAGTTTAACTGGAGGCTCAGAGCCCTATCTTCATGGTGAGAGGTGGCAGCGTGCAGGAAGGTTCTGGAGCAGCAGCTCCGTGTTTAGTTTGGACTCTGAGTTGCTTCGGGTGGTCATTTCTTTGCTGTCTTGTATGTCAGCCCATGTGCTAACCTCTCTCTGACTGTTTCTCATAGCCTACTGACCACGGGGAGAGGTTGTGGCTCCTTTCTGTTGTGTTGTCCTCTTCAGCTCTCTTCTGATGCACTTGTCTTTACTGAGGAGAACAGTCACACCAAGGACTTCCTGTTGAGCACCTCTGTCAGCCCCACCCTCCTCCAGGGCCCCTCCTCTCTTGTGTGTAAGGACACTCATCAGAGGTGGTTCTTGTCCTCGGGGAGGGGAGCAGGTACTGATAAGGCTTCTCCCACTATTTTAACTATTTTCCTGGGATGGCCTCACTGCACATTTCTAGGTCATGAGGTCAGCATCTGCTCTTTCTCACTTGGTATTTAAATAAGTTATGAGCTTCTCACGTTTGAAAGACAGACTACACTGTTGATTAGGCTGAGACTCTTGTAGGGTGTCCATCACTTAGTAGGTAAGCAGAATGGGATGCCTGGCCCTGATAAAGCCTTGCCTGTTTCCATCACCCAGAGTAAGGAAAGGAGGAAATATCACCTGGCCTGTGACACTGATCAGCCGTTTTGAAGGAAAACAGCAAATGTAGCAGTCTGCAGGTCCATGAGAAGTGCATGCCACTTTACAAGATCAAAGGCCTGAGCTCTGCGATTTCTAAGGACGTGCCTGTTTCCACATCTGTAAGGAGGTCCCTGGATCAGGGGTCACTGAGAATTAAACTGCTCACGAAAAGTGCCTCAAACATTGCTTACACCTGCCAGATGCCACTGTGTGTGACCGGCAGGCTTACAGAGAGCTAGGGCCTCAGAGTCCCCAGCACAATGCCCACCTGTCAAAAAAGTAGCCACTTGGCATCCCCAAGGTCAAACATGAGATGTGGAGATAGCAACTTTTATGAATTCTGTGAGACAGATGCCTTTCTAAAGTTGCTTATAGGATCTCAGCAGTGCTGTAATTATCTATCTAGCTAAAGTATAGGATTTTTGCTTTTAATGTGTATTTGCTTTTTGTCTGCATAAATGTATGTATACCATGTACAAGCCAAGTGCTCACAGAGACCAGAAAAGGGTATTGGGTCCCCCAGAACTGAGTTATAGATGCTTATGAGCCATCGTCACCATGTGGGTACTGAAAACCAAACCAAGTCTTCTGCAAGACTAATAAACAAGCACATCCAACCACTGAGCATCTCTACAGCCCCATATGAACTAGTAAGTAAGTACTCCTAACTACTAGGTATCTCTACAGCCCCCATGATCTTTTATTTCGTTCCTTCTTCTTTTCTTCTCCTTTCTTTCTTCCTTCTTTCCTTCCTTCCTTTCTTTCCTTTTCTCTTTTTTCTTCCTTCCTTTCTTTCTTTTTTGAGTTGGTGACTTGTAAGCAGCAGTGTCTCATTGGAAGAAGCCAACCATCTCCTCACCTGAGCCCCACGGTCATTGACCAGCTCCACAGACCACCTGCCTTCATATTGAATCCACACAAATATTCCTCCATCTGCATCACATGTGGCCAGTTTCTGGTACGGCTCATTCCACCTCACCAGCACAACCTAGAAAAACAAGAAAAGCAACCTGTCAAGTTCATTTCCATAAAGGATTCAGATCCCAGAAGTAAGTAGGAAAAGGATGAGAGAGAGCGTGGGGATTAGGATAGGAACTTCATAAAGCCTGCAGAGAATCCAGACACACTGGACATGGCAGGAAGACAGAGGACGCCTGATCAAACAATGAAATATATAATCCAATGTGAAAACTAAGGCCCCCACCTGAACCCAGCACCCGCCTCTCACAGGTGTGAGATGATCTCTCATTTGCTGGTCCTGTACTGTAGAGAAAATAGTTTCACAAAATTCCCATTTTTGAATCATTTGTCTAATACAGGAAAAGGGAAAGATGAGGCTTGGTTTTCTATCTTTTCTGGATTATCTTATTTCTGAACATCTCATCATCTAACAAAGCCAATGTGGAAAACACACAGTTGGGAGACTTAAGTCACTTTGGGTTTTTTTCTGAGAGAAAACATGAAGTTATGAGCTTCTGCAGTGGTTTGAAAGAGACTGACCCCCGGAGCCTCATATCATCGTGGTCAATGAATGGCCCTTTTGAAAAGATTACAAGGGTTAGGAGGTGTGGTGTTACTGGAGTAGGTGTGGCCCTGTTGAAGGAAGTGTGTCACTGGGGTGGGATCTGAGGTTCTGGAAGCCCACACCAGGCCCAGTGTCACCCACTCTCTCTCTGCTCCCCTGCTTATGGGTCAGGTACAGCTCTCGGGCCATGCTCCCAGCCATGATGAGGACAATGGACTCTGAAACCATAAGCAAGCCTCAAATCAAACGCTTTCTCTTATAAGCTCTGCCTTGGTCGTGGTGTCTCTTCACAGCAACAGGACAGTGACTAAAACAGCTTCTAATTATATGAGTACGGGAACTTAACTCCATTTGTAAAATTATCCATGCACTACTAGTTTTTAATTAGAAAGAATTTCAAAGTGTAACTTTTGATTCTAAATCTAGAGAAATTTCCTCCATTTTTCTCAATTATAAAACAAGTTTTTATCTAAAAAGGCAGACAGTCTGGGGACAGCATTATGTCTCCATGGGTAAAGGTGCACAGAGAGAACCATGCACAATCTACCCTCTGACCTCCACACACGTGTGTGGTAGCAATGTGCCCTCCTCATCATAAACACACAGACATAGTAAGACGTCTGTCAGGTGGCTTGTGAGTTTACATAATACACATGTGGCAAGTCTGGGAGTAGTCTGGGAGCCCAATGAATAGGGTCAGGGACATCCATGTAGCAGTGAGCAGCTGCCCAGTCTCAAGATCTGAGCCATGAAACCTCTATCTCACGGTTCACCGTGTGACTGTCCACACGGCTGTTCTACCGTGATGAACTAAGCATCATGTTGAGCTGGTGGCTGTGAATCACCTCCGTCACCCTCAGTGAGCTCAGAGTTAAGCCTGAAACCTAGAAGAGCCACGGACACACGGAAGCCTCTGCTGTGTCATACAGGACTACCACTGACCAGCAAAAGCACTCCAGTCCATCAGGGTACTCGCTCTTATCTCTCCTGAGCTGTGCACTGTAAACGGTTTCCCAGCTCTAATTTGGGCGCTGCAGTTGAAGGAACCCTGAGGTCTAATGGACCTCCTCCGAGGCCAGACCTTCTTGGTATCTGTAAAACTTCCTCCTTCCAGACAACAATATACAAATCCCATAACGTCTGCTAACTGCAGTGGGTACACCTGATCTGGAGAGCTTTAGATGTGTTTCCAGGGAACAGTAAAACTGAGAGGGACAGCCTCACTTATTCTGCCTTAAGCTGACCCTAGTTTGCTTACCTCGATTTTTTTTTTAAGAGGTAAAAAGTATTAAGGCATCTGTATAGCAATACTAAAAACAAAGGAAACTGTCAAGTTTTGATCTTTTGAACCCCAGCGATCTTTAACTTAATCCAGTTGGTGGCTACCATGCTCCAATCAACTTGCAAGGATGCAGACACTAAGAAATCCAAGCTGTCCCATGCAGCTGCGTCCTGCACTGAGACTCCTCCCTTACTCTGGCCAGCCCGGCATGTCTGTCGCTGACATAATGTGCTGTGGCTATCACTGTCAATGCCGAATCTGTGCTGCTGAGGACATCTTCAAAGTGACTAGCTATTTTTAGTGTGTTCTGAAATGGGAAGCTTTAATACCTATTAAATTATATCTTTGAAATATAAAAAGTATTGAAAATGTTTCAAATTCCCAAAGGCACTGTAACAACAATAATTACTGCCTGTATGCTTAAGATGGACTAAACCCTGTTAGATGCCAAATAAATAAACTGAGGCATCGCTGGCCCCAGAGTTCAGTTCACAGACATAATACATAACTAAAGAGCTGCACATGTTCAGAGGTGGGAACAACCTTCACAGGTGTGGATGAGGATGTAACAAATTAAGATTCACTTCTGTAAATCTAGTTTTGATTCTTTAAGTTGATTTGATTGGTTAAAAAAAAAAAAATCAACAGCTTAAGTCTTCAAAATGCCATTTGAATGTATCATGAAATTTAGAATCCCCTAACTCCCTTCAGACCTGGCAGTGATTTGGCCTGAGCACTACACTGAACAGATATGGGGGTGGCCACAAGTCTCTCTCTACTGACACGCTTTCCTCCCAGGAGCCCATTTCAGAATGGCTATCAAAGAATGAAATACACGACAAACAGGAACACCATATCCATGGTGCAGCTTCAGAATGGTCTCTTTGGGTGAGCTTAGTGAGCATTCATCTCCTGTAAAGGCATCTACAAAATGGATGTTTCTGCCACGAGTGGCCACTGTCATGTGTGATCACATACTTAGTTATCATCGAGGACACGCCTCTTCATGGAAATACCCTGCAGTCACAGAATGACACAAACACAAAAGAGCAGAGGTGAAACGTATTGAAAATTATCGTTAATATTAAAGTAAGACTTTTTTTAATCTTAAGATAACACAGTTGCTACTGTTGGCTAAACAAGGCGCTCTGACTCAGCTTCATCCTTCTGGGATCCTGAGTTGAGATGTAGCAATCACTGGAAATGTGGTCCTTTTGCACAGGCTCCTTCACCCCAAGTTCTAATTGGCACAACTGAGTAGGTGGATGACTCTGGATTGGAAGGAGAAGTCTCTCCATTGCTTCTTAGTTTAAAAATGAAGTCGAGCTGCTAATGTTTGTTTGGCCTGTTCATCCTCATTTCCTCTCCCGTCTGCAGCGCGCAGCTGCCCGCCTTATCTCCCAACAGCTTATTTCCTGTTCTCCAAACCCTGCCAGCCTCCTTGGCAATGTTGGGACATACCAGAGTGGTGAGGAATTACCAACCAGAGGTCAGCTGGGATCTCAGCTGCCCAGATCACGAAGTTAGGTGCTATAGACCTACTCAGGCGTCCTAAGCCATGATCTTCCTAGCCTTCTAAAGGGAAACAGGATTAATTTAGTCTACACCAAAGAACTTCTCCAGCTACCATGTTAGCTGAAGGCTGCATTCATCTATTAAAAAGGGGAGTGAGATAAGTTTTAATTCATGCCTATGAATTAATCCCAGCACACAGGAGGTAGAGGCAGGTCGATCTCTGAGTTCGAGGCCAGCCTGGTCTACAGAGTGAGTTCCAGGAGAATCAGGGCTACAAAGAGAAGGCTTGTCTTGAAAAAACAAACCAAAACAAAACAACGGCTTATGACTGTCTCTAATTTAAGAGCCACCCTATCAATTTATAGCAATCCGTACTGGCTGAATGCTACTAAAGTTAGAGGAACCCAGAACAGAAACAGGACAGGGCTGCTAGAAGCACATCTGGGTTACAAGCTAAGGTCCACGATGCGCTGCTTCACTCCTTACACCTGAAGTTATTTCTAGGGAAAGCAAGGGAAACCCCAGGTAGTGCTGAGGGTCGGCTTCTGAAGTAGACCCTCCAAATGGTGGAGACACACACAGAAAATGACTTCACTAAGTAACGGTGTCACCAATGTTCAGGACCTTTCCTTCCATCTAGAAAGAACACATTTTGAACAAAAGCAAGACAAACAACAGCTTCTATAACAACCCTGAGATGATGATCATCACCCAGCTCATCTGGTCCTATTATTCACTAAGTGAAACAGCAACAAGTTCAACTGCACAAAAAAAAAAAAAAAAAAAAAAAGACAAAATATCACGAAAATGGCTATATTAACAAAAGCAATCTACAGATTCAATGTGATTCCCATCAAAACTCCAGTAACATTCTTCACAGAACATTAAAAAACTGAAATCTAATGGGAACACAAAATGCATCAATAGTCAAAGCAATCCTAACCAGGAAGAACAACCCTTAAAGGCATCACGATGCTCTACCTGAAATTACACTACAGAGCTACAGTGACAAAGGCAGTGTGAGGTTGGCACAGAAACAGAAAGAAAGACCTAGAAGTAAACCATGGTAGTTACAGCCATTGAATGTTTGACAACGATGCCAAAGGCATACACTAGAAAAAATAGTCTCTGCAAAAAATGGTGCAAGCTACACTTGATAGCCCACCACAGAAGAATAAAACAGATTCTTATCTCTTACACCGCACAACAATCAATTCAAACATATCAAAGACCTGAACATAAAACCTGAATGTTGACTGGATGCTGGTGTGTAGAAGACTGCAGATAGACCCATGTCTATCGACATGCACAAAACTTAAGTCCAAATGCATCAAAGACCTCGACATCAATCCAGCCACACTGAACCTCTTAGAAGAGAAAGTGGGAGGTACCTTTGAACTAACTGGTAAAGGAGACTGCTTCCTGAACATAACTCCAGTAGCACAGACACTGAGATCAACAATAAATGGGACCTCCTCAAACTGAGAAGTTCTGTAAGGCAAGGAACACAGTCAACAGACAAAATGGCAGCCCAGAGACTGGGAAAAGATCTTCACCAACCCCACATCTAACAGAGGGCTGATCACCAAAATATACAAAGAACTCAAGAAGCTAGTCACTAAAACACCAAATAACCCTATTAAAAAGTGGGGTACAGAACTGAATA